AAGTTTTGATTTCTGTCGGAACAATACCATTCATCCAGTTTTGCCTCTCGCATCTTGACTGGCTTATCTTGACTAGCTTATCGTCTTAGGGAGGGCGACAAACAAGAAACAGAGGAAGAACCCAGAGAACTTCCAGAAGGAGCGCAAGGCCGGGGGAAAGGCCGGGGGTAAGTTGCGGCTGCTGTCGCTGCGACTGTCGCTGCTGCCTACGCCCTGTTGGTTGAGGTCGCCCCTGCTGCTTCTGTTGCAATGTAGCAGAATACAACATCGCAAAGGGGGCTTGAAGATGTATCAGCCACGCCTGTTGTAGACAACTTGCAAACCCTCAGCGAGCGATCTAGGCCAACCTTCAACAGCTGAAGCAACGATCGACGCCAATACAAGTTGGGTCCGATGGAAGGAGCCATCCAAGACCGATTGTCAGCGATAATACCAACCTCCCCAAAGAAGAGCAACAGCAACAGCGGGGGCCACGTCAACCAACAGCGCGTAAGCAGCAGCGACAGCAGCCGCATCTTTCCCCCGGCCTTGCGGTCCGCAAGGTCGGGGGTAAGGCCGGGGGTAAGTTCGCGGCTGCTGTCGCTGCCGCTGTCGCTGCTGCTTACGCCCTGTTGGTTGACGTCGCCCCTGCTGTTTCTGTTGCCATGGAGCAGAATACAACATCGCAAAGGGGGCTTGAAGATATATCAGCCACACCTGTTGTAGTCAACTTGCAAACCCTTCAGCGAGCGATCTAGGCCAACTTTCAACAGCTGAAGCAACGATCGGCGCCAAACAAGTAAGAAGGAGCCATCCAAGATCGATTGTCAGCAACAATATTAACCGCACCAAAGAAGAGCGAAATACAACAGAAACAGCAGGTGCGACGTCAACCAACAGGGCGTGAGCAGCAGCGACAGCAGTGGATTCATTGCTATATTTACTGGGCTCCTGTCTGTGGATAGAGATGACGATTTGGTTTGTTCGTGTATGAAAAAACCCGACAGTATTGCATTGTACGGTAGCGCCCGCGATTTCGGCGAAAAACAAGAAAAATCGATCGACTACATACGAAACACGCCTCAGCCGTGAATCCTACACTAAATTCTATATAAAGATATAATGAAGTACCTATGCTCGACGGTGGTGACGAAATGAGAAAATGAGCCTCGACACCAAGTTGACGTTTCTTAAACGCGGGCGGTAACTGGTAATCCTGGGGTGTCGAAGAGGGAGATGTGTATGTATGTTGTTCTGTTGGGTGCTGGTTGTCAGATCGCACTGCGGAGGTTCGCCCAAGAAGTGTTTTGTGCTCAAACACCACCGACACAAAAATCTCGTACATGTACCCAGCAGCACGGGTGATTGGAAAAAATGAAGTTCATCTAGACTACAAGCAGTATATACCTTCGCCTGTTCTTACGGATGGACATGGATTGTTGTGTAACCACAAAAAAAAAAAAAAGACAACATGCATACTATATGTAGAACTGACGATCGAAGACGTTGCTAAGGGTAACTTTACACGTTGCACTTGCCTCTCTGTGTTCAACCTTAGCAGCAGCCTCGCGTGCACTTGCTTCGGAATGGATTCCAACCAGCATTAGATGAAAAAACTCTCCGTCTCTCTACAACAGGGAGGCAGGTAGCACAACCAAACACTCAACACCATCAGCAACCACATGCCACTACTGTACGCATCGAGCCCTCACCCTCTTCAATGGAAGGCAAAGGGGGCGGTGGCGCCTGCGGCATCGTCGATGCCAACGCTTCCGCGAGCCCAAGCTCCTCCTCTTCTCCCGCAACGGGCACCGCGACTCGCTGCCCTTCGGCCACGGCTTGCACCGCCGGCACGCCCTGTCTTCCACCTCCGCCGCTGTTGTCATACGGCCCACCGCTTGCCATCCCCAGCGTGCCACGCCCGCTGGTGCTGCTGCTCGCTGCCCCCCCACGGACAACATCCGCTGCCGCACGAGATGGTGAGGTCTTGGCCGCCGCAGCAAAGACCGAATGCACCGCGAAGGAAGAGCCCACGGACTCGCAGCTGGCGATGCACAGGAAGCACAGCGCTCTCCGTGGGGGGCGTAGCCACGGCATCGCTTGGGGGGCGGGCTGGTAGCTGCGCGATGAGCGAGGAGCTTGTTTGTGTGCGCGGAGTTATCGCCAAGCAACCGAACAATGACCAGGAGGGCACGTTTACGTGTCTCTCTCGTTGGTCGACAGCCTTCAGCGAAGCTGTGCTACTACGTCCTCTCCGCGCTGCAGGACCTCAGGCGGGCGAACAACTAGACGAGAGGTAGACTCTCGTGGTATCCTCTAAGCGCGGTGGCGCTTGCCTTGCTACAGCAGCAGAGACGCCCGTTTGATGCGCACATCAACAACGATAAAAAAAAAATGTGTGCTTCAACCCCGCGTAAAAAAAAACATCGTGCTTGCACATGAACTCCCAAATTGGCATACACAGTTGGCCCGGCCTTCTAAGTCGCGCGCAGCGCCGACTTAGTCGGACTGTTAAGACGAGCGAAGCGAGTACTTAGCCCGCCGCAGGCGAAAAAATTTTCGGTTCGTCTTAGTGCATCTTACACGTCTAAACGCATCTCTGGTTCGTCTTAGCACGTCTTGTATTCGTCTTAGCACGTCTTGTATTCGTCTTAGCACGTCTTGTATTCGTCTTGGGACGTCTTGTGTTCGCTTAAGCGCGTCTAAAATACGTCTAAGCGCGTCTAAAATACGTCTTTGCGCGTCGAAACTGCGTCTTAGCGCGGCTTAAATGCATCTCAGTTCGACAGAACAAGGCCACAAGGTCCTACAAAGCACAAAGCGGTGTTGTTGTGCTTGATGCCGACCAAATCGGTTTTGCGCCCCATTCCATGCACCACCTAGAGCGCGCCACTGCACGTTGCAATGGCTTGGTTGGTATATCATCAGGGGGTAATCGAAGAAATTTGAAGCAGGTGAGACTCCTAGAGACCCTCTTGTTATCTTGGTATATATACCCTTGGTACGACACTACTGTACCAAAAACGATCCAGGTTTTACGTTTATTTTTGCTCATTTCTATCTTGAGTCAACAGAGTAGTAGACGCGTTCGTTGGTTCACAGAGCCGTTGCAAGATATCTACTTTCTACTGTAACGTGGGTACCCGGGGGTGCCAGCAAGGCGCACGCATGCCATTTGCCATTTGCAACGCAAGCAAGAAAAACATCAATAATATGGTACTCTGGTTGAGCCCCTTCGCTGCAAATCTGCAACCAATTTTAAAACTAATTGCTACATCAAACGCACGATCTCCAAGAGAACACCACACACCACACCCAACAGTAAGAGCGCGATGTTTCGTCCGACTACCATCAAGGAAAAATGCGTCATGTCCAAGGCCTGTGACGGTCGGTGTGACGTCAAACAACTACACACACGACTTGTTGTGTGTTTCTTTTAGTCCTGTCCGCTCCCGGTGTCTTCCTCGTCCTCGTCCTCGTCGCCCTCATCCTCGTCGTCCTCGTCCTCCAAGGCTGCAGCTTGGGCAGGCCCTCCCTCGTGTTCTTCCTCGTCGTCCAAGGCTGCAGCTTGGGCAGCCGACCCCTTGGTGCGGTCAGTCTCGTTGAACCGCACCATGACCGTCGTCTCCACGAGGTCGTTCAGACAAGATAGCTGCTGCTTTCCGAACACGTTGTTGAGGACGGAGAAAACACGTTCCATCATAGCTGACGAAGGCTGCACCAACCACAGCTTCTCCACGACAGCGTACCACGCGGGAAGAGTTGACGCGTTGTCCACCCAGAAACTCCGCACCGGGTACGTCGACCTCACGCGGGTGACGGCGTTCATGTACTCGGGCATCTCCGCGCGGAGGTTGGTGATGTCGCCCGAACTGATGAAAGGAAAGATGCTCAACACTTCGGGGTCGATGTCGTCGAGAGGTTGCTGGCGGACGTGCACGTGGTTGATGATCCGCGCGGCCTTGAAGAGGTCAAGCTCGCGGCGGAACTTGACCTCCATGCCGTCGCCGAACTGGCTGCTTGAGTAGCTGCGGATGTCCTTGAGGCAGCCCGTGACGTGTGAGCGCAAAGAGGCTAACGTGGCCTCATCCGGTGTGCCCTCGTGGTTTCCTCGGAGCAGAGCTTCGACGTTGGGGAGGGACACGTAGGCGTTCAGGTCGTCCAGCCGCAGGGTTGTCACCACTTTCTGGATGATGTCGTACGCCTGTCGACAAACAACAATGTGCGACAAGGAATTGCAAGCGTTGGCTGTGAGATGTTGTGTGCCAAACAAGGAAGCAGGTGCATGCCGTTGCCCGCATGCAATTGTCAAGAACCTTTTTCGAATTGGGCACAGCCAGCGAAGACATGATGGCAGCACCGTTGCCTGCGCTTACGTTGAACTGTCTCACAACGATGTCGAGGTCTCTCTGCATGTTGAAGTACACCTCGGAAACACAAGAAAATCTAAATGGTGAGCATCAACAGCACCAAGATACACGCCCAAGTTCCATAACCACACAATCGTGTTCCTCACCTTGAACACCAGGGCATCGTCCCCCTCCAATGCCAAGCATGCTGTCTTGAACGTCAACAAGACGTCCCTGTACATGGCAAGCTCCAGGAGCAGAAACCTGCGCTCGTGGACGTTGTCCAGGTATTTGTCCTGCCGCGTGAAACCGAGAAGCAACGGTGTTTAGCACCGCATTTCAAAAGGGAGCACATTGAGTGTTGACGCTGAACGTCAAGCACACAGGAGAGGCAAGGCAAGATATTATGGCAGACAAAACTCTGGCGTAGTCGAAGGTTCCAATCAGCATACTCCATAAGCGCTGTACCTGCAGCGCCTGGCATGTCTTGTTGCGCCTCCCGTCGGAGTTGCGGAAGGTGCGGATGAAGTCCTCGATGGCCGGCAGCTGGGTGCTCAGGAACTCGAACACCTCAGCCTTGGAACCCCACCGGTGGTTGACAAACCTCGGCCACGTCTTCCCTGCCCTGTTCACGAGCTCGCGCTTCGCGTGGAAGCTGTAGCTGAACACGCTGCTGGTCTTGAGCATAAAATCACTGGCCCTTGGCGCATCGATCTGCTTCCCTGCCAAAATGAAAGAGACACGATGAAGAAAATATGGAGACAACCGAATTAAATGGCGGTTATGTTCATGTTTAGAATTGTCAGCGATTCAGAAACTCTCTTGTGTTCTGTAAACGGTAGGAGACAATGTGCACGATCACAGCTTGCAGTACAAGAGGTTGTGCTATCTCGAGAAGGCAGATAACGAGGTAAGACCACACGTCCCAACCGATGGAAAAGAGAGAAATATTTGCTGACGGCTGCTCTAGCAACAGGAAGCAAGAGCTCCATGGCCCACAACCCGCGCAACACAAACGGGGCCCGCGACTATCTGCGAACGGAAACACAAACTTACCCGAGTTGTCCATGAGGTGGCTGCAGCATGCGATGTAGACGGCCTGCGAGAAGAAGCCGGGCAACACGTCCCTCATAGCCTTGCGGTTGGCGGCGCAGCCATCGAACTGAAAACTCTTCACGAGGTTCTGTTTGGGCGCAAACAGGGGAGGAGGGGCCGGGAGGGAGAACGAGTTCGCATTCGCGCATTAGTATGAGTGCGGTGGGCGAACACCATTCACGATTTCGAAACCAACAAGGGGGCGAGGGTATCAGTCACCACCCGAAGCGTTGCCAACACACGCTTTCATCTCCCCACTCAAACAACATGCATAACTTTGACGGCTGCCCAATGAACTTACCCGATCGGAGATATCCAGCCTGTCTCTGACGACGTCGATCACCTCAGCGGCAATGTTGCGGTTGTTCATGGCGCTCTCCAGCATGCGAAGGGAGACGAGGCGCTTTATGACTGCGAGGTCTTTTCCCACGGCGCGAACAACCACGCCGAACGTCTCCTGGAAAAGGGGACGAGGTTCGACGCCGAAGAGTGATGCAAGAAACGTAGTGTTGAGGGTGTATAGGCTTGCATACAGCTCAGTCTTGCTCACGGTCAACAGCGAGTAAGAAATCCCGCAAACATCAGATGCCACAAGGAATTAAATAAAGCGAATGATCCGAAAAGCACAATGGAAATCGACGGAGGGGGTGCGCAAAAGACAACCGAACGACCAAGAGGCACAACGAGTGTAGCAGCGCAAAAAAAATAGTCTCACGACGGAAGTGCACAGATTCGTAGCATGCGGCAAGTGGACCTCCCTTACCGTGCCGTTGAAAGGCGTCCCATCGATGGCAATACCGATGTCCTTGCCAAGGATGTCCTGACGAATGGAGCGAATCTGCTCCTCGTTGATGAAGCCGATGTACTCCTTCGACTTCGATGACCCCACCATGTCTGCTCCGAGGCTGGTGAACATGCTCCGGAGAGGGTCAAGCTTGGAGAGTGATATTCCGGCACCCATGACTTGAGTGATTAGCTGGAATATAACAGAAGCACAGGTGGGGGGTGAGGCACATGGGAGGTGAGGCGGCCGAGCAAGCACCAGAACCAGAAGCGGAACTATTACGGTAGAACCAGAGCAAAACAATAGGGGACAGCAGGTGCCTACTTCAAACCAATCTTCTTATTGAAAAAACAACCCGAGCGAAGGAGAATTCAGGAATCATCATCACATTACGTAACCGTGTGCCCGGCCAAAGAGTAACCCCCTTATCTGCTGCTGGCTCGACTTGTATGGAAAATTCACACAGCCGTATGCAAACGACTTGAAGGGAAATACTGCAGCAAGTCCACTCTACTACTCTGCTGCTGCTGTTGGCGTACGCACAATAATGGCTGACCAATGAAGAAATTTGGTCGTTGTTCACTTATATAGGATAACATGGTCTAAACAAGGTTAGTCGCGAAGTACATCAAGATATGCAGAGCAAAATTCACCTCGTTCTGTGCTGTTCCAAAATAAAGAGAATGTCGACGATTGAAAAAAAATATTCTGATCACCTTGCAGCGCTTGTCGTTGACCTCGGGATCGACGGTCTTCCCGTATACGGCCCGCCTCTTGTTGCAGTACTGCGTGAAGCGAGTCTTCCTGTTAGGCGCCTCGAACTCTGCGGCCAAGTGCACCTCCAGCTTCTGCATGTGCTGGTTGGGTTCCGCCTTGTGACTACCGTCCTTCAGGAGTCCACAATGGGCCCTGATCGTGGAGAGGCAAGTCCCCAGGCGCTTGGCGCACGGTTCGCAATAGAGGGCGCCCGCGGAAACGACGAGGCCCTCACCCGGAAAAGTCCTGCAGCGTGAGCTTGCCGAAATAGTTTTCGGGTTGGAGGACGAAAGTCCGTTCACCCCTCGAGATCGCTTGCCTGTGCTGTTGTCACTTGCTCCCGTGGCCGGAGCCGCAGCAACACTCCTCCGCTGGCGACCGGCGGCAGCGGCTGCAGGCTTGTTCGCCAAGACGAAGATGTGCGCAGCCTCATTACTCCCTGGAACATATGGCTGCACAAACTTGTCCATCGCTCCAGATGTTGGTGCTTGTGTGCCTCCCGGAGGCACTGGGTGAGCAGCAGCACCAGCAGCTCCAGCAGCAGCCTCCTCTGCAGCAGGAGCAACGACTGGAGATGTGCTGGTCCCGACCAAGGACACGGGGGTGGAGGCCGTTTTGAGGCCGTTCCGACGGACGCGTTGTGTGTCGTGGTAGTAAGCGACACCGCCGCCATTGGCGTTGTAGCCGATGCTGGTGGGGTCAAAGACATAACGGGGCTCGGGACTCGGGACTCGGGGGGCCGTAAAGTAGGTGTGGAGTGTGGAGTGTGGAGTGTGTGAGGCGGCGTTGGCGTGAGGCGTGAGTCAAGGCGTGAGGGCCTTGGCCGGAGCGCGGAACATTTTCGGCGGGCAAATTTTTCAAAATTTGAGTGCAAACATGCAAACATCCTTCCTTCCATTTTGGTAGGAGGTACTTCTACGGAGAACGGAGGGGAGAGAGGGTTGGAGAGAGAAGAGATGGAGGGCGGAAGGCGGAAGAGAGCGAGCTACTCCTTCCCTGCGTCTAACGTCCTGTTAAGTCGTCGAGACAGCTCCTTAACAGTAACCCAGTCGCATCCCCCATTGCGTTAGACGACTGTACGACGTGCCTAGTCGCCATATTGGGGGATAGACGTGCCTCTCCCGTGGAAACGGAGTTAGACGTTTTCTAAGACGCGACTTAGAAGGCCGGGCCAAATACACAGCACAACAGCAAGGGATTACTCACGCGTGATGCAGGGACAAGGGAAGAGAGACGAGTGGGCAACATGTCACGCCGACAGCCTCTAGTGTGCTCTGTCCGTCGGCCTGTATCCAGCATCGCCAATGACGACGGCAGCAGTAGCAGCAGCAGCAGCAGCAGCAGCAGCAGCAGCGTGAGCCTGCGCTTGCGAGTTAGACCGCAGAGTTCGCCTCTGCCGGCAGGTTGCGCCGCCATCGCGCCTAGCCTGCGGACGCCGCTGGCCGGCGGGAGGTGAGGGCGTAGAGGGAGAGGTTGAAGGCGATGAGTCCGGGAGTGAAGTTGCAGCAACTTTGTTAGACGTTCAACGCGATCCGTGCAATTGTTTGGTTTGGAAACATCGTCCTCTAGCTTCGCAACCGCTTGCACAGCAGTAGTCTAGACCTTCAGCGTGTCGCATACATGCATATTGCACTGGACCTGTGTAGACACAGAGCCTTATCTGCTAGTTCATGATATTGGCGTGAGTAACTGAAAATCACCTGAAACCAACAGGAAACTGTCTACTTGTTGGGATGCAGAAAACGCGTCAATCTATCATCCACCTCGTGCCCCGTGTGCAAGTCCACAACAGCAGTCTTCACCGCTTCACGGCCTGCGTTAATAAAATGGTGTTTGTTGCCACAAGAATATTTCATGCAGCGGTAGTGCTGCGGAAAAGAGCCCGGTAGTTCTACGGAAAGCCCTCGACGCTCGACATGTTTCCAAAACCACCATTTTTGGTGTTGTCTCTTTCTGTGCCACCCCCGTTGGTTGTGGAGCAATGGATCTTTGACAGGGGTTATTAAAAGGTACACACACAGAAAGACTATTTACCCGTTCGAGGAGTCTACGGGGGTTGTCATCTCTCCGCCTCTTACGGTACTCTCACACCAGATACCCACAGAGTAGCGAAGTTGCCCTCTGTGATACTTGTATGCCTTTAATCTAACTGCTGTAGCCTGTTGTTCCGAGAGCCCCGACCGCAAAGCCGTTGTTTGTGTGTAACCGTTCGTTCTCACACCCGCTGGCCATTCCCTCCCTCACCGACCTAATAAATCGTCCATCGGAAACGGTGCCATTCATCGTGTGGCCACAACACGACGACGAAGCAGCGGCAACAGCATCCGCGACCCCTTCACGGAGGTCGGCGTTACCCCAAGATGCCTCAGGCGCCTGCAGCTCCTCAGCGGCGGCTGGGTCCGCGTGTATCCGGCAGCAACAACAGCAGCAACAGCAGCAGCGTCCACAACGACTCATCCCGCCTTTTCCAGCAGAAGCCCGCATCATCTCCCACCACACGACGTCAGCCCGAGACCTCTCGAGAACCAGGCAATAGGGCTCTTGTGCCGCGTGGTCGCCGTGAGCAATGGCTCGGTGGGTGACAGCGGTGATGATCGACGGGGTGGCAGCGGGGGTGTGCGCCCGCTAGCGGATGACGAAGCGCTCATCCCACCCTCAGTCGCGTTCAACGCGGGACTCGGGCCGTATTCGGACCACGTAATCCTTCGTTGGGCAAGCAACAGCGGAGGCAACAACGGCGGCGGAAACAGCAAGCATGGGGCCGCTTTGTTGCACAGCCCCCCGGCGATAGCTTGCGCGGCCTCGGTTTCCAGGGTGAAGAAGCCGAGACCCACCGGGGTACCCGGTGGCGGCGGCGGCGGCAGTACGGCGAGGAGGGCGAAGGCCCACGCGCTGGCGCTTACGTCATTTTTCTCGGCGCCCCGGGTTCTCTGTGTCGGGGACATTTTCGGGGTTCCCATTCCGCGCCCGGGCAGCAGCACCACCGGGGGGTGTTGGTGGCAGGAGCTGCAGGAAAAGGATGGCGATGATTCGGACTGCGAGGAAGGCACTGACCCCCCCAGCCCGGATGAGCGCGGGTGGGGCGCGGCAGAGGAGGCGGTGACCGCTGAGGCGGCGCCGGCGGGTTCGGCGGGTTCGGTACCACGCGAAGATGTCCCGGAGAGAAGCGCCGCAAGCGATTGGATTACCGCAAGGGGTGATGGACTCGGAGGAAATGTCGACGGGGGGTCGTCGGACAGGAGGCAGCCCGCCCGCGCTCCCCCACCAAGGCGACGACGCGAATCTGTGGCTCAGAGGTTCAGGGCCGCGATCGTTCGGCAAGGCTCCGAGCTGGTGTTCTTTCGCGTCACCGAGCTTCGTGGAGCGGGTACCCGCGGCGGCGGTGCCGGAAGATCTAGTGAAGAAGCATCGCTAGGGCTCGCCGCTGGCAACGACGAGAGGTTTGAGCAAGAGGGCAGCCCAGAGGCAGAGGCGGCGGCAGGCATGGTGGTTAGCCAACGGGTGACGGAGCTGCGGGAGGGAGGGCCGATCTGCTCGCCGGTGCCGGAGACCTTGCGCTATCAGCGGTTCGTCTGCCGGGCGAACGGATACCCTTGCCCCGAGGCAAAGCCGCCTTTCGTGAGTGCAGTCGCAGTGTTATAGCTGGCGTTGGAGGTGTGTGAGCTTGTTGCCAGGGCGGGGCCGAAGATTGTTGGCGGCGGTTACACCACGATCCTGTCGGTTCTGGCGGGGGGAAGTTTCCACGCCGTTTTTAGCCGTCCGTCGCGCAATCCGCTCACTGAAATTAGAGCCGCCGCCCAACCTCACCACCCACCTTGCCTGTACGTAGTCCTATGTTCCATCATGGTATGATAGGATCACCTTCCTACTCTCGAGCGCGTGTGATTTTGTTTTTATGTTCACATGCTGCAGAGCGATCGGTGTCCACTTGTCATAGCATTTGAGCATTTTATCCTCAGATACAATTTGGCGGGTATATCTCGCACAGTACACCGACCTCCTGCCAGATCTCTTTCGTTCCGTATTCACACCAGCAGTGGGCGAGTTGTCGTTCGGCAGCAGCAATCAATAAACAAGTCCTCCTCGTGCTGGAGCAATCGAGCTTGAGAAATAGGTTCAGGCGGTGTGGCATCTTATGCCAACCTACGGTATACTTTTCCCGCCCCCCACGGGTTCCTCCAGGACGCACCACGCACCGCCCTTAGCGACACATATCCAGTACAAATTAGGCGATGTTGTTGATGATTTGGCCTCTGAGCGTTACCGTTTTGTCTTGCCCCGTGTGGTCCAGCCACGCGCAGGGGGCACAAGAACAGAACGGTGACGACCCTTGCGGCCTCTGCCAGCAGTGGCATCCGTGGCTGAATTAGAAGCCCACTTGAGACGAGACCCGCGCGTCACCAGCAGGTCGGGCAGCGCCGGTTGTCGGGCATCCAACAACGTTGCTGCCCGCTCTTCTCTCGACAGATACCTCGCTCGTCGCATAATGGGCTTCTGATTCAGGCAGGGGCACCAGTGCTGGCAGAGGCTTCAGACGTCATCAGTCAGGGCGGCCGCTTTGGTCTGCTTCGTCTGTGTGTGTGTGCAGACCACAAGAGGCAAGACAAACGGTCGCATTCAAAAGGCCAGCATCGGCCCACCCGCGTCCGCGGGCTTTTCTTCGAATCGAGGTCTCGGAGATCTCTAAGCCACACATTTCTCTTTCTTGGACATGCCGTAGGGACAACGACGGTACTTTCGGTGCTCTAGTTGTTTTGTTCTTTCCCAATCGTCGCGACAAACAGTGCATTCGTCTATTTTTCCGTTTTTCAAGCGCTGCACGTCGAAGGATCAGGGCACGGCTCTGTTTTTTTTTTTTTATCGATGGTGGGGAAGACGTCTCGTCCGCCCGCACATTTTCCACAGAAGTAACAGTGCTCACGCATGTCTTTCGTACACGCGCTGTGTGCGACCAAATGATTGGTTGTTTATTGCCCTTCTCTCTTTTTTTGTCGCACATGTTTGGGATTTGCCCGAGCGTGTCTGTTTGTTTCACAGTCAAGCGCGAACGGTGTGCTGCGCACGTCTCCGTTGCGTTTATCCACCCGCGTTAGGTGCAATGGGGCGGTGCGTGCATACGTGAAACAGGTGAACACGAACGCTTGTGCACTTGTACACTGTTTCTCTCGCAGTGCGGTAGGAGTAGTGGTAGCGGGGCGATGCCTGAATGCACGAACAGGTAAACACGGAACGCTAGCGAATATGTACACCGTTTCTCTCGCCGTACAGCAGTAGGAGTAGCGGCTCTGTGCATTATGCGTACGGACACCTCTCTTTCCTCTGTTCTCGCACATTGTAAGGAGGGCAGCGCTGTTCTTCAGTACGCTCACTGCTCTACCACGGCCGTACCAATCCAACGGCGCGGAGTCAGGCAACGTCGCACGACACGACAACAGCTCCACCGTACGGGCAACTGCACCCGCCGCGTCCTCTCGCGCCTGACGGCGGCCTGGTGACTTCGTCTCGCGTACTCTCGCGCGGAATCCGGCAACGTTGCACGACACGACAACGGCTCCGCCACAAGAACACCTGCACCGCCGCTTCCTCTCGCGCCCGGCTGCGGTCCGTTGACTTCGTCTCGCGTATTCTCTCTTTTTTTATATTCCCGCTTGGTAGGACGAGCGCTGCGTGGAGGCGGTGGTTGCCGCGCTTGCTCCGGTCGTAGGCCCGGAGGCGTTTCGGCTGCTGGTGGTGGCCCGCTCGCGGCCCGCGGTGCTGCTTCACGGCCCGGGGGCCGCGGAAGGCGGCGGGAGCCTCGTGGAGGCGGCGGCAGAACGGGTAGGGCGTTTTCTCGCGTGACCGCCGTTGCCTGCTACATGCCTTGTGGGAGCTGAATGTATAGGATCACCCGTGCTTGCGTGTGGAGTGTGGCGTTTATCTCGCGGAGGTCGGTGCCGACCGGGTGGGCCGTTCTCTCGCGTGACCGCCGAACAATTGCAGATACCTGTACATTGTCGGCGCTGTATGTTAGCATTCACCCGTGCTTTCTGTGGGGTGCAGGTTTTTGAACCTAAGAGATGCCGAGTGATTCTGATGTACCCTGTGCCACATCGGGTTGCTGCTCGGCTGTAGACTCAAAGAGCGGCGGGTCATTCGCCGATTTCGTAGTTTTTGCTCCGACCGAAAGTGTCCTGGGCGCCCCAAGATATTTGATCGCCGTTTTCCCGTTGTGTGCTCATGCTTGTAGGGTTGTATGTTGTCGCTCAAGTACGCTTGAAACCTGCAAAGGAACGCGAGAGAGAGTCGTCGTCGCTCTTGTCGTGATTTTTGTTTCTGCTTGGTGGCGATGGACAGACAGCAGCCCTTCTTCCTTTTACCCCCCTCTCGCTCGCTGGCCCGCCCTCGCTCTCGGTTGTCTCGACTGCTGCAGCTTGGGATGCACGTCCGGACCGTGGCGATGCGCTCGGTCCTCGGATCAGCCCCGCATGCCGGCGGCGCGGGTTTCGCGGCCGGGGGCGCGGCTGGCGCGCTGCGGCAGGAGTTCCAAGCCGCCATGGAGGCGTCTCCGTGCGTTCTTCACCTCCGCGGCATCACGAGTCTAGCCGGTGAGCAGGCATTCCGATATGTCTTCCAACGCACACGTATCTGAGTTGAAATTCCAAACATCCACTCCTGCCGGAGTTCCATGAAATTATGGGTGCAATCTGTGTTCCGTGTTTCAACGAATCGACCAAGCAAGCCAACGTTTTTGTGTTCGCAGTATCCCGCGCAGGTTTCCCCGCCAGGCACCCAAACGAGACCTCATTTGCGAACAGATTGGTGGGTGCCAACCGTTGATGCTCGAAGTGCCGGTTTCTGCTGCGACGAAGTTCATGCTTCTTGTTAAGTGTCCCGACAATCATTGTTTTAGGAACAATACATCAACGCACAGATTGTTGTTGCACCGATGAGCGGACGAAACGGACACCAGACCGACGTGATGGGGTGGTGTGAATGAAATGTTGCAGGGGTTACGGTTTCCTCGGTGGCCACATGATGAGCAGGCACACGCGCCCGTACGCGTCCTTGAACGCTTAGCCCGGACCATACCAGTAGACCTCAGGACTGTTCTTCATGGTGAAGGCAGCAAGAAAGCAACAAGAGTCCGGTGGCCAAAGCCGCCGATATTTTGCACTGGAATATTGCCCTTGTCATTGATGGTGCAAGGCTTTGTTTTTGGCCGTAGTTGTGCGAGTGATTGCACAAGCCGTGGACTGACTTTCAACATCTCGATTTGCTGCGCAACCGAGACGGCACGAAAACGGACCGTTTCATGCAAGCTTGCAACCAACCTGTTGTTGAGACCGTCATCTTTCCAAGGCAGCTATTTTCGCCTTTGACAACCTCTTGGTTGTGGGGCAATCGAGCAAGGAAATTCGGTCTCGGGGGGGGGGGGTGGTGCTATCAGTCGCACCAACACGTTTTTGTTTGCACTTCACCGATGACATACGTATAGGGACTAGTGCGATGACTTGCCAATCACGACCAAAACTACCTGCACCAAGTCGCCACCTACAAATCGCGTGCCGCAACTACGTAGCACCCTCTCGATGCGAATTTTTCGGTTTCTTCCAACCCCGGCTTGCGAATACCAGCAATATCCGGAACTGGGTACCGCAACTATTTGTACCCTCTCTCATCTGAAAACCATTCTATTTCTTCGAACCCTGGCTTGTCGTTCCAAAAATATCCGGAATTAGGCACCGCAACTACTGTGGCCCTCTTTCACTTGGAACCATTTTATTTCCTTGCGTGCCGTTACGAAAACATCCGCAGCTACAGTAGGCACCGCGCCGCAACAAACTAGCCCTCTCATGTCTGAAACCCTTTAACTTCTTCGAACCCTGGCTTGCCGTTACGAAAATATCCGGAGCTACATAGTCTCTCGCTTACAACTATTTTCTATTTCTTCGGCCCCTGGCTTGCCGTTACAAAAATAGCCGGGGCAAGGCAGGACCCCGGCGGGGAGGAAGCCGACGAGCGGTTCGTCGAGTCGCTCTCCGCGTGCTTGGAAAAGATTGATAGCGCGGCGGCTGCTGCTGCTGCTACGATGCCGGGAGAAGGGCGGGGGTCCCGGCGTGTGCAAGAGAGAGGTCGGTCACTCCCGTCTTCGTCGTATGTGGCAGCGGGGGCGGTGGTGCTGGTGGGGAGCGCCGAGTCGCTCGAGAGAGTGCCTGTGTCGCTTCGGCGGTGCTTCACGCATGAGGTGGGTAGGTGTTGCTGCTGTGAGCTTGATCAGTCCTGCCAAAGAACTCCGAAGAAGGTCGTCGTTCACCGTTGTCCACTTAACATACCCTGCACAGACAGGCCCTGGTGTCATTTGAACCAGCAGTGCTTCATACATGAGGTTGGTTGCGATGCCTGGGAAAGTGATCATGTCCCTTTCACAGTTACAAGTTTGGTCCCGTAGCACACCAATATGCAGCAATGGGCTTGATTCATTTTGATGCGTCGTGTTTGCTAGTGTTGAGTGGTTTGTTTCATAGCGTGCTGATAAGTCCTTTCTTGTTACGGAACCTGTGGGACCATCGATACTGAAGGATAGTGGGGGGGGGGGGCATAGAGAGCGGGGACATTCTCTGCTTCGCCTCTAGACTAAACTAATCGGTGCCATCTCCAGTGGAGGCAAAGCTTTGGGTTTGAGATTGCCACCCAAAAAAGATAGTATAGCTGTCGCTACAACGAGCAACAGCTGATAGATGTAGCTGTCGTCAGACGTGTACGTCCACGGGAGGAAGTCCGTGTGATTGCGAGGGGTACCGCAGGTGGAAAAAAGCTGGTCAGTTGCAAATCAAAACCCCCATACTTTCATGTATGATTATTCATTCATCATTCATCATTATTGCACATGCTGCTGCGAAGTAGCCTTACACTATTGTAGATAGATAGTAACACTGGTGGTAGCATGGCACACGTCACATACGATCACCTGTCATAGTACCACTACACACAACGCGGCCAGAGACAACGACTGGTGGCGTGGGCTACGCTACTCTCGGACACGCGATTCTCCTTTTGACAAATTGTGTGTGGGCGTTCAACAGACGGGCGGGTGAACTTGTCACGGTGTGTGGTCTGCAAGAAGTTTGGTTGCAGACCGTCGCGCCTTCAATAGCTCATCCATCTCTGCGCCTGTACACCCAACACTCGGGACGCCAAGAAACAGCCTTACCTCACCAGTGTCCTCATGATCTCAGATGAAACTGGTCAGCCGTTGTGTCATAGTGCCGTGGTCATAATCCTGTCGCCACAGCCCGTGATGTGATTTTCTGTATTTTTGATGCGGACAGCCGCCAGCCGACGCATACCGCATTGATTGTGACTGATCACTCACCAACAACAACTACTGCTGTGTACATGTCACAACTAACCTCCACCGTCTGCCCGGTCTGGGCGTCTGCTGACACTGGCACGACATGGCTTGACTGCTAGAAACTACGTCTGGGGCAGCTGGTTCGCAGCAATAGATGTAGAAAGGTACCCGTCTGAAGGAATGAGGAGCGGAGCGAGCGAAGGAATCGATTGCTTGATTTCTCTATTCGTTCAACTGCCATGAGCTCACAGCAGCTGCACCCTCTCCCTCATTCGTTCAATAGCCATGCGCTCACAGCAGCTACATCCTATATTTCGCTAATAGCCACAGTATGTTGTCGCTCGCTGTGCCTGCTCTGCCCGCTGTGCTCGCTGTGGCCGCTGTGCGTGTGTGCCTGTGTGCGTGTGTTCTGCAGCAGCAATCTGCTTAGTGCTGCGGTCTCCCCTTTAAAATCAAGTGATGTACAGCAGTCTAAAAACCTAGATGAAGCGGACAGACGCAGAAACTATTTTTTTCTTGATGGAGCGCTATATCGCGGCGAGACTTCAGGCCAGATTAGAAAATCTCGCTTCGCTCGAACAAAATCGACCGGTTCTGGAGACTGGGAAGACTACCAAGAATGTTCTGTTGCTGGGAGGAAGTTTCACTCGTAAAGTTGCTCAATTTTGTTGTCCGTTTATCGTGGCCTTAGGATTGCAATTTTTGCCAGTATCACACGCGGACTTTTAGGTGAGCGGGACACGCAGCTCTCTTTGTGCCGCAACTCGGTCAATTTTCCCCCTCTTGTCAGCTCGGGAGCACCACTATGTGGAGAGACGCCTTCTTCCCTTCTGCCTTGTTGTGCCGGCTGGTGTCGTCGCGGCGAGAGAAATGACACGTAGACAGAAATAGCGGCACGAAAGTGGAACACGTTCGCTGCGAAGTGCTTCTGAGGATACCGCCATTCGCACTCGCCACCCCGCCACCACCATCGCCGTTGTCGTTAATTTGGTGGGGTGCTATCCTTCTGCTTGCCTTCTTCGCCTCGTCCCTACGACACTGTTGTTAATTTCCTTGCCACTCCAAGCGTTGTGAATATTTTCGACTTGTGGTCAAAAGTTACGCCACCCAGCTGGTGCAGATTTTGGACCTGGAGCAGAACATACTTGCCACCATTGTAGGTTTTCGATACGTAGCCCAAGAAACAATTTTGAATCGTCGACTTTCGACTTGGTAGCTCAAAAACAAAATTGAGCTGTGGATTGAACGCCAACGCCCCCATCTCCCACGGAAGCAACGCCTCGTTCGCCGCTTTTTTTATTCTTGTCGTTTATGTATGCATAGGTGCTGGCCCCTTTCCCCCCTGAAAAGCTCCGACTGTCTCTTCTGGAGCACCACTTGGGAGGCGTAACGACGGCGGAGTGCATCACCAGGGAGGCTTTGAAGGGACTGGCCAGGCGCCTCTTGGGCCGCTCCGCCACGGAGGTGGGAGAGAGAGTAACCGTACGCAGGGGGGAGCGCCCTGAATCAATCACCGTTTCGCGTTTAGAGGCGGTACGCATGTAGTGTGCGGCTGGAGAAGACCTTTTGGCTGTTCTTGGGCCATACCTCGACCGCAGAAAGAGTCTTTCGGAAGTCGCCGCGATGTGAGGAGTCATTTAGTAGTAGTTGAATCTTATCGCCGACGTGTGCTTAGGATCCTGCCCAAACCGATTTTTTTTCCTTTCGTCCCCCCCACAGCTTTAACTCTTCGGCATTGTGATGCGGCATGCATGTACCACGAAACACCAGATTCAAACCCTCGTGGCGAACGCGGGCGGGGAAGCCTTAGCCCGGTCATTCGGCGGCCCCGGCGTGGACTGGCTCGCCGTGGCCGAGTCCGAGGCGGCCAAGGCACAACAACAAAATGGAAGGGGCCGGCCGTCGGTCGTCAGCGGAACAGCAGCCGCTGGCGGAGCGGAAAGAGGCGGAGACTCTGTCGGCGGTGAGGGTGGCCGCGGCAAGTTGGTGTTGACGCTGACGGACCTCGAGAAAGGGGAAAAACGGCTCCCGGCCCCGAGCAGCAGCATGAAGATGGGGTGTCCGAAGATCCCACAGGTGCGCGCACGCGTGGGCGAGGGAGATGGTCTTATCATCATCGGCAGGGAGTTGGGGGGAATGTCGATTGGGCGGCGGGGAGGAGGCCATGTTTTGCCGTTCTTGTTTGCTTGGTGTTTGGGTGTTGGCCGCAATCTCTCCTGTTCGAAGCGAGGCGCTAGAGGTGGTGGCGTAGGCGCCAAATTGCAACCGTTGGGCGCTCTTAGCTTCCATGCCCATGTTTGGCACGGGGGATTCCGGCAGAGAGACTTATGGGAACGAGGTGGTGGTTTTCTGTCCTTGCCTGGCACGAACCGTGAACCGTTGGCGTGGGATCTTGGTCAAGGGGGGGGGGGGGCGAGAGGACGGTGGTTGTTACACCGCCATGCTTGTAGGCACGCCGCGAATGCGTGCGGGCAACCTAACGTTTCTCCCGGGGTGTCATTCTTGTGAAGTTTAAGTTTAACGCTCAAGGAGGCATCGGTTTTTCTCCGTGTAATTGCTTTCATCCCCGGGGCAAGCCTTGTACAAGAATATCTGCCATACAGGCTGTTACACTACATCGTTGACTTTTCTCCTCTTTCGCTTTCAGGTGAAGTGGGATGATATCGGGGGTCTGGGGTCCGTGAAGCGCGAGATTCTGGACGTGATCGAGCTGCCCCTCAAGCACCCCGAGGTGTTCGGCAAGGGCGTCAAGCGGAGGGCGGGGATATTGCTCTACGGACCCCCCGGCACGGGTGAGAGTCTAGACGGTTTCCGATGTTGCGCGGAGGTCTTTTCGTTCGAGGGAGGGAGATAGATAGAGAGAGATAGATAAAGAGAGAGGGAGAGAGAGAGAGAGAGGAAGGGAGAGAGAGAGGGAAATTCCAGCCAGACGTTGGACGAGAATCGAGTTGGGGCAAGGTTTCGTTCGATTAGAAGTCGGAAATGGCCGCATGTGAATGACAGTTGTTGTTGTTACTCCCACCACGCCCTACATGCCACCTTTTGACCCCAAAAATGTCCTAGGGCTTTTTCACGTAAGCAGCGTTTGCACTTTTGAGTTTCGGTTGTTGCCCATGCGCGCGTCTGCGTGCTGCTACGCTTCTACCACTGCTCCTGCTGTTCGTCTCTTGGTTCTTTTTGTGCTGCTACTTATGGCGTTCGTGTTGGTGTTGTGTGTGGCACCATAGGGAAGACGCTGCTGGCCAAGGCCGTTGCCACGGAGTGCGGGCTGCCCTTCTTCAGCGTCAAAGGCCCAGAGGTAAAATGTCGCCAAGAGAAATGAAAATCGTTTCGGATGGGTTTGCAGGGATGCCCTGTGGTGACTGTTTTTTCTGTTGAATGCTGAGTTGGTGCAGGTATACCGCAGCCGGGTAACAACGCTAGAAATAGTGATACAAATCCACGTTGAGAGACACGAACGGTTGATAACGTCGTTTACGCACTAACCGAATCCTTTGTTTTTCGTTTCATCTACAAGTAAAGACGAGTGTTTCAATGGCTATAGACCCACCCACCCTTGCGGTACAGATCGAAGAGAGAGAGAGGGAGAGAGAGAGAGAGAGAGAGACAGACAGACAGACAGAGACAGAGAGAGAGACAGAGATCGACACAGACACAGACACAGAGACACAAATGTAGCAATAGCGCCACTACAAAAACGATCACAAGTCACACGACAATCGTTACGTTCTGTACATACTATGGGTTGTTTTCACGCCTTCAAGCCGCAGAGCTCCTTGACACACGGTACTTGAGAGACGCCTCCCTCCCCCCCTTGTACCTTGTCTTTGCTCTGCGTCCTTACCTCTTCACAGCTCCTGGACATGTATGTGGGAGAATCCGAGCGCAACGTGCGTGAAGTGTTCGCGCAGGCCCGACTCGCCGCGCCGTGTGTCCTATTCTTCGACGAGCTCGATTCCCTCGCGCCGGCGAGAGGCCGAGGAGGAGACTCCGGAGGCGTTATGGACAGGTACCGCTGAACAGAAAACAATGAATGTAGGCGTTAGGACAGGTACTTGCTGAATACCATGAATGTAGGCGTTGGGACAGGTACTGATGAACAGAAAACGATGAAGGTAGGCGTTAGGACAGGTACTTGCTGAATACCATGAATGTAGGCGTTGGGACAGGTACTGCTGAACAGAAAACGATGAATGTAGGCGTTAGGACAGGTACTTGCTGAACACCATGAATGTAGGCGTTATGGACAGGCTCTGCTGAACACAAACAATGAAAGCAAGGGGTATGGACAGGTGCTGCTGACCACGAAAAACGAGTGAACGCGTCAGGGACAGGTGTCGCAGAACACAAGCAATGGATGTAGGCGTCATGGACAGGTGCCGCTGAAAACAACAACGAATGTAGGGGTTATGGACAGGTGCTGCTGAACACAAACAGTACACGTAGGTTTTATGGGCAGGTGCTGCTGAACGCAACAAATAGAATAGTTGGATGCACATCTATCAACCGTGATGTCGGCATGATTTTGGGCAGGTAGGCCAAGGACTGGGGTTGTGTGCGTTTGTAGGAGATAGGAGAGGGTATACCGAGTATTGTTTGCAGGGGGCGAAGGGGGTGCAGAATTTGAGATAATTCAGCAGCGTTTTTTCGGAATGCCGTGTTTTTTTTTTTTCAGAGGTTTGCTTTCAATGGCAGTTGGGGACATGTTTCAATGTCACTTTACCCTCGTTGCTTTTTTGGCTTCCTCGTCTATACTTGCGCGCCCCTCAAAACTGGTGTTTTTCGTGTTTTCCAGCGTTTGGAAAGACTTGGTTTGTCCGCCACCCCCACAGCCTAGATGGCGAACCCCCCGATAGATATTGTCCACCAGGCTTCGCATAGTCAGACGCGAGAGCTGGTTATTACAACCATATTTGTTGACCCCCCCCTCCACTCCTTGTGCCCTCCCCCCAACGCAACACCACATCGCAGGGTTGTTGCACAGCTACTGGCCGAGCTCGACGGCGCGGCATCAGCATCCTCCTCCTCAGGCGGTAGCGGCGGCGGCGGCGGCGGCGGTGGCGGAACCGATTCCGAAGGGGACGACGACGAGAGCAAGGTCCACCGGCACCAGCGGCATGGACAAGACGAGAGCTATGATGGTGATGGCGGCGGAGGTGGCGACACCGTGGGTGAAGAGACTGTGTTTGTCATAGGGGCGACCAACCGGCCGGACCTGCTGGACCCTTCTCTCATGCGGCCCGGGAGGTTCGACAGGCTGCTGTACCTGGGGGTCAGCGGGGACCGAGAGACCCAGACAAAGGTACAACAGAAGATGATGTTTTTTGTCCTACACTTTACTTACTCCATGTTTCCCCCCGCTCATTTTATATATTTTTGCTCATCGTAATCCTTCTCACGTCAGCCTTGTCTACCTCCTAGCCCCGCTGTCGTAGAGCTAGGATCGCACCCAAGTCTTTTGGGTCCATTTCAGTGGTGCATGCCTTCGTCGTTGGTCTTGCGACCGGCGTCGGCTACATATGCGTACCGTAAGATGACCATGGTTGGCCGGACTTGTCCATCAGCAAGTGGTAACCATAGGAAAGCCCGCCGGAGGTCGAGAGAGCACGGTAGTTGTGTTGCATCCCCGCTTTGAAAGAACGTGTATGAGATAGGTACCAGCTCGTAGATGCCCCAGGTGGGAGATACTCTTGTGTTTCTCACGCGAGGCGCTTGGTTGAACCCCCTCTATCGATTCGCTTTCCTCGCTTTCTTGCAAAGAGCACCCCGAATATTAAGATGAAGTTCGAGCTTGGAATCTCGGCACACTGGAGTTGCCGAAACGCCATGGCCCGAAAACTACAGCTGTGGCATTGCGACATTCGTACACCTCTTCTTGTCCCTACCACCCACCAGGTGCAGCATGCTTCGAAAACCATCATCTATGCATCGAGAACAATGATTTATGGATGAAAGCGGTGAACACCCCCCCCTGTGTACATGCAGGTGCTGCGAGCTATCACGAGGAAGTTCGGGTTCGAGGAGGAGGATTCGGAGCACGGGGTGGATCTCGCCGAGATCGTACGAGATCGCATCCCTCCCCAGGTGACCCCCAAAAAACCGGCGTAGCAACACCCCGGCGTTTCGGAAACCCTTGTCAAAACCTCAGTACCCACGTTGTTGCTTTTGGAACATGTGTTGCAGTATGCCTTCCCGGTGGCGTCCATCTTCTGCGATGACGCCGAGAGACCGACGCGGCGTGTCCTCTGCCGTATCGCAGTTGGCTTCTTCGCATCGTGATGTTTCCTATTTGGCGTTCCCGCCGTTGCTGATTGGTTAGGCTTCCGTTGCTGTTGCTGTTGCTGTTGCTGCTGCTGCCGCTGTCGCTGCCGTGGACGTTTGATTCTCAGTTCACGGGGGCAGATCTCTCGGCGGTTGCCTCGAATGCCTTACAGCTGGCACTTCGACGCCGGGTCGCGGAGATTGAGGCTGAGGTAAGAGCGCGGGAGAGAGAGGGGCGACTCGTTCCTGTTACCAGCAGCGGCTTACCCTCCTTCGCGCAAAGATATCTCGTGTTGGATTTGGTCCTGGACCAGGCGTTCCGTCGTTACTGCAGCGGCAATTTGACGACGAGTTCGATGGTATTGTCAGCATCCTCAACAACGCCTACCGTGCTGACGTGTGTGGAGCACCCGCTGCCGCAGTAAGTTTTCCTTTCTTCGAGACCCCGGCGTAGTTACCCTAGGTCTTCTGAGCCACGCTTGACATGTACAACGTTGGATCCATTGCACCATGCCGACCAATACGCACAGCGCCCACTCAATGTAACGGTTATGCTCGCCGCCGGTTCATTGCTTCGGCTGCAATCTTAATCTTCACCTAAATAACTCCAACGACGACACCCGGTAGTTCCGCCCGGTATCATATTCTTGTACCGCTGTCACTCTACGTCCGAGGGCGTTGTGACACCGGGCCTTCTGTTCTTTTGTCCTCGCTATAAGGTTGCGGAGACGAATGCTCGTGAGCTGTACCTGCGCCCGGTCACCCCGCAGCAGCTTTTGGCGCGCCTTTCCGAAGACGAGCTGGCCGTTAAGGTCTCCAGGGAGGACCTCGAGGCGAGCACTGTTGCTGTTGTTATTGTTATTGTTGTTGTTGTTGTTGTTGTTGTTGTTGTTGTTGTTGTTGTTGTTGTTGTTGTTGTTGTTGTTGTTGTTGTTGTTGTTGTTGTTGTTGTTGTTGTTGTCGCGTTTTCACCCAGGAACGCCGTCATCTCTATCCAACACTTGTGGCGTCTGCACCACACCAATCCACTCGGGGAACAACAGGTTTTGGTGGCCTCGTGGCGATACATCGGTGTGTCTCACCACCCTTTCTGGCGTCTGGTTTTCCCGAGTATCAGCAGTGAAGCGCTCATGCTGGTAGGAGACAGTCGTTAGCCATCGAAAAGGGACTGTCCATGCAAACGGGCCGGAAGCTTGTAGAACACCAAATAGTAGCAGTACGCTTCTCTGGCTTCTGCCAGCTACTCGTCGAGATTATATTTTGTGCTATTTGAAGACCTGTCTTGGTCCCATGCTCCCGACTGACGTTGCTCAAAAATGCTGCAAACAATTTTTTCTGACGTTTTTAGTACTATATTGGACGATGTTCAAAAGTGCACGTCACGCAAAACTTCCACCCACGTTTGGCACGCTTTCTACTCTGCGGACCAATCGTGCGCCGCCATTCAATGTTTTACTACGCGTGCCTGTACCATCAGCCCAAGCTGTCCGTTGGATGTTGTCTCGCCGGGTTTCCACGTGTCGTGTAGGCGGCCTGTCTATCGGTGACGCCGTCGGTGTCCGAGGACGAGCTTCGGCACTACGAGCGCATGCGCCTGCAGTTCAGCGGCGATGGCGTTGATGACTCTACCGCGGCAGAAGCAAGGGGGGCGTGGAAACCGGCTGCAAGAATGGCGTGAGACCCTGCGCGCGCAATGGTCTGAACTATGCACGTGCGTAGTTGGCCAGCGGGTGTCTCAAACATGTCCACAGCAAGAGGAGAAGAAAAGGCGGCCGACGGGTAGTTGTTCTTCAACCACGATCCAGGGCGATGTTTCGTTCGACGTGCAACCATGGTATCGAACTCGCCGCAGGATGTGTTGGCACGTGCGTGGTTGGCCATATGGCCAGCGGGTGTGAGTTAAAGACATGTCCGCGTGGTGGCTGTCTCAAACAATATGTCCAACGACAGTAAGCGGGATGGATATTCATGCTGAGGCACACCACAGCGTTGCGGGGTGTCCGTAGCTTGCTTTAGGTAGATCATGGGAACCCGCCTCGATCTGCAATTGGTTCGAGAATCGCGGTCGGTGGGCCACACAGGTCGCCGGCGGAACTTGAACTTTTCACCTTTTGTCGCGGACCGAAGTTGGTGAGTTCCGGGTCAAGGGGCACAGACACATGCGAGGTAGAAAATGGCGGACCAGGGAATCGTTTTGCTGGCACCATGTGTGTTTCAGTGTCACAGCCTCGGCCGTCTCTTCCAGCGTGGTCGTGATTGATTGGGAGTTTGGCTGGCACAAAATGAGCTTCAGTGTCACAGCTTCGGAATCTCTCCGTCTTTCCCAAAAAACACAAAGGGGTCCCACCCCGACCAGCACATCAAACTCTGTATCCACCGCAGGACACGCACTCGCGTACGTTGTTGGCTATTTGGCACAGCGGGTGGGCAATGAAGACATGGCCGTGGTGTAGCGGTCTCAGAAAATTTGTCGACAGCACGTCAGTACGACAGTACGAAGAAGGTGGGCACTGTATGGAACCAGAGACCGCGATTGACGTGCCAACAGCAGGTCATCGAGCATGATGAACTGTAAGGAAACGAGAGACATGCAGCAGTACCTACGTCCTATTGACGTTCTCCAGCTTCCTGGGGCTAGCCGGTTACATTCGGTAGGCTCCACCGCTCGTAGATATCCATCCCTTTGCACACATGCATACGTAATACATGTATGATGGGTAAAGTCTTACATTCCACGTGAACTCAACCCAATAACATTATCGACAGCTATCAGTAGACCAACGAAATTTCGCACCCTGCTCAGGAATTTCCTGCGCGGCTCCGGGGACAGCATGCTATCGGTTCCGCGAACCGGTTCCGCCGGTTCGCCCGTACGCCCGTTCCGCCGCTCAATTTGCCGTGTACACTGAGATGCTTTGTTGCATCATCTACAGCAGTAGCCACACAGGCCCTGGTCGAGAAAAAATGAAAGCTTGGCACAAAGTAACCCTCTGGAGTCGGCGCAGCTCCAAAAGCTCGAAGTCGAAGACTCCACCATCTGATGTTCGACCTACACTGGGTGCAGAAAACGCAACGGCTGTGTTGTACGTATTCCCGCCTGTGTGTCAGTAGTCGGGTGTGATGGGAAAGAGCGGGTTGGATCGCGGATGAACAATTTTACCCGCCGGATCGTCCTTCCATCCTTCTTCTCCTGCTGCTGTCCACACGTGTGACATCACCACCACAACCATCATGCATGCCTCCAGGTCAAACTCTCTGGCCAGGCCACTACATGCGCACGATAGTGGATGTACAGCGGTAAGGTGGAGTGTGTACCTGGAATGAAGTATCGCCCTGGATCCCGGATCATGGATCGTGCCCGCATTCCTTGACCATGTCTTCAACGTTCACCCGCTGGCGAAACGGCCGAGAACGTATGCATACTTGAATCCGTGGCCTGCTGTGAGATAAATATACGCGTACAGGAAGGGTATGACGTGGTGGTGGTGTTGTGTTTTTGGTTGTGCTGTGGCGGGGTGGGGGGGCTTGGATTTCCCCCCTGGGCTTCGGGGAAACGACAGACGAGTACTCTGTAGTCTACAGTCTACAGTCGTCTCTCGCGTTCTCCAAAGAAACTTCCTGGGGTCGGCCGGTGACATGGCTCCGCAGCTGGTAACTTCTATCCCTTTGCGCACATGCATGCGTAAGATGATGGTAAAGTCTTCGTTACAACGTGAACTCAACCAGTTGGTCGACGGCTACCAGTAAACCCAGCGAAATTTCGCACCCTGTTCAGAAATTTCCTGGGCGGGCGTGACATCATCGGTTCCGTGACCCGGTTCCGCCGCGCTCGTTCCGCCGTTCGTTGTCATGTACACCGAGATGCTTGAAGCATCATCGACAGCTGTAGCCACACAGGCCCTGGTCGAGAAAAAATGAAACCTTGGCACAAAGTCACCCACTGGAGTTGGCGCAGCTCCAAAAGCTCGAAGTCGAAGACTCCACCATCAGAGGAACCAGCGCAGGCCGAAGAGACACCAGTGCAAGTGGCACACAACAACACGATCTTGCTCGTAGATGGGCGTGAGGGAAGCTGTCACTTCTCAAGGTTCGGGCAGACCCTAGCCTATGGCAATCAAGAGGAGGAGGAGGAGGAGGAGGAGACAACAGCTGATCCATCCCACCGCGCCTATGGAGCCAAGGAGTTCGTCTCCGAAGAGGAATGCCGGGGTGAAAACTGCCCCAACGGCCGGCTGCTGAGAAAGCAAGAGTTGTTGTTGTGCAAGAGCGATCAAGAGGAGATACAGAAACTTCGAGCCACCCTGCTGCAGCAAAAATATGACCTCCAGAGAAACGAGAAGATGGCCTTGGCCCGGTTGAAGGCGGTTGAGGATGAAAAGGCTGCGTTAGAGGTGGCCTTAGGAGCTGAGAGAGCGAATACGGCGACGCAGCAGAAGACCATGTACACTCTGCGGGGGAAAAATATCGAGGCGCAATCGGTAGAGATGGAGCTGCGAAGCCAGGTGGAGACGTTGAAACAAGAAAAGAGCCAAGCAGAGAAGGAACTTCGTGCCACCTTGTTGCAGTGGAAATATGACCTCGAGAGAAGCGAGAAGATGGCCGTGGACCGGTTGAAGGTGGTTGAGGATGAAAAGGCTGCCTTGGAGGTGGCCTTAGGAGCCGAGAGAGCGAACATGGCGATGCAACAGAAAACCATCAACTACATGAAGAATACTCTTCGGGAGAAAAATATCGAAGCTCAGTTGTTGGAGTCCGAGCTGGGAGAACAGGTGGAGACGTTGAAGAAAGAAAAGAGCAAAGCAGCAGAGGACGGGCAGCGTCAAACTAAAGAGGACAAGATCAGGAACGGGTTGGCACGGCTCGTCGAGAAGGATTTACGGAAGCAGGTGGCCACGCTAAAGCAGTCGATTAAAGAATTGAGCCAAGCAGCAGAGGACGGGCAGCGTCAAACCAAAGAGGAGAAGGTCAGGAACGGGCTGACACGGCTCGTCGAGAAGGATTTACGGAAGCAGGTGGCCTCGCTAGAGCAGTCACGCAGGCAACAAGCGGACGAGATTCGGAATCTCTTGGTTCAGCTTCAGGTGAAACTAGAAATGTTGCACATCATACGAATTCGTAATCAGCGAATGAGAGATTCCCGCATCGAACCCCGTGGCTGGATCACTAGACTAGTAGTCTAGAAAATTGGCATACAATCACGGGAGACTATACACATACCCGTTCGAGATGCAATCCAATCGAAGGGGTGTGCTGAAGTCTTACTTACTCCTTACAGCGGGGTCAGAAGCAACTCCTGGATACTTGGGCGTATTTGAGTATAGTCTATGCACCGAAGGACTACCCAGTGATGCCAGCCAGCACAATGTGAATCAGCAACCTCTGAGTACCATGTATCTACTGTAGACGTCTCCAACAAGGGCGAATTGGCGGGTCTCGCTCAATATCCCCGAAGTAATGTAGCTCCATATTACCTCTGTGGCGGCATCAACAAGACTCATCATGCTGTAGTGTGGAGGTTCATGCGGTAGTCAGTTTCATAGATCGCATGTTTCTTTTTCTCGCAACGGGTACGCATATGCCCGACCGAATAGACTACTTCGGATACGCGGCGTAGGCCAGCCACCTGCGGGAGGAAAATTCGAAAAGTGACACCGATTTTGTACAGGCCATTCGGTGAGCGCTTGTGACCTTCGGACGTTCGTGTTCTGTCAACGCTGACACAGCACAACGGTGTTACCCGATGAAGAGCTGGGGTGTGGGCACATGTGGGCACCACAAACAGTGTAGCCAAGCGCACACATACCGACTACAACTACTGTAGTTTTCGTATGCATTTATAAGACAGCGCTCGAGGACATAATTTCTACGTCTTTCATTGGAGTTTTCTACACCCAACAAATTTCCATGTTTACAGGTGGATGCCGTATCGTGGTTGTGGGACTACATGTAGTTTCGTTGTAGTAAAACCACAACAGGCTTTGCGAAGTGGTGGGATCGTAAATTACATAGCGCAAACACGCTAAAGGCATATTTCTTACCACTTGGCCACAGACGGGCGACAGGCGGGCTAGACGCTGCTGCCCCAGAAAGTTCATCGGGGTGTTCGCGAGAAACTTCCGAAGACACACTTGAGTGTCGAGCGTTGTTGTCCACCTCTCGGTGGTTGCTCGGCCCAAATGACAGATGACTACTATGCCCAACAACAGCACACGGGGAAGCGGCAGACTCAGTCGAAACGCTTGAGCATGAAACCCCGGGTTACCCGGCGTCCATGTCAGCTCAAACGCCTCAGCATATAACCCGGGGATTCATGCATGTGAGTCTCCGCACCTGCCCCGCAAATCACCCTCCGCGGGGCCACACATTTTCGACTAGTGGGCCTACGTGATTCTTTGAGACCTATAAATTGTATTCCCTGCCCTGTCGACGCTGTCGAATGTCTGTCGATGGTCTCTCGTTCGGCCCTGCCTACTAGTAACAAACCGCCAGGTTGTGTATAACGGAGATAAGGAACAAGATCCAATATTGGCGGAAGAAGGGTTGATCGAAAGTAGTACATATAGTATGAAGAGCGCTGCCTCCCCCCTTGTATGAGACGTGGTACATATAACCTCCGAGGTTGTTCTGTGTCGATCGCTCATATTGTCAGGATCTGCAGCGGAACGAGGAACAGCACATTGACAGTGTTGTCACTTTCGGAAGAACCCAGGGCTTCAATGCCACGGCTAGCGCCCTGGGTGACGGCCATCCAGACTGTCCGCGGCTGCACGCCAAATTCTACCCCCGTTGGGAGGCGTCCGTTGGGGTTGCGGTAGTGGGAATCTTCAGGATCACGGTGTGTACCTCTCTGGATGAGGACATGTGCAAAAAATGTTCGATGAGCTCATCGTCTGTGTGTTGCTTTAGCAAATCGTGCTTGAGCTAATCGTGCTGTGGTGGTGTGTCGTCCACTCTGCGTTCTTGATCCCGTCTTCAAAGCGGCTTGCAGAAACTTCACCAGCTTGCAACCAGGCACAAATACCGCTCGGAGGTTGTCCTCATCAACGTCAAAGGGCGTCAAATCGTAGGCCCGCCCCCATGACGCACAGTTCTGATGGTGCATCCTCCTAACCGTAGTTTTTTACTATGTGGCAACAGGCCAGCATGTGTTTGGAGGTTGAATACCAGCAAATGCGGGGTGTAACCACCAGTGACGCGGCGTAATGGCCTTCGGGGGGCGATGAAAGTGTAGGTCAGCACGTTTTGCCTCAGACCGATTCCCACGTATCTGTCCATTCGACCAACGCCGGGGTGCTGACGAAAACAAAATGTCGCCGCTTGGTTCCTCCGTCCTCCAAGGTCCCCGCAGGCGTTCGTGGCAAGCACCTCAGCTACGTACGGAGCCACGGGAATGTTGTCCAGTGCTTCCATGGAACCTCGTGCAGGAGCGCATGCAACTTCATCCTCGACCCCAAGGTGAGATGGCCTGGCGAATGGCTGTTTCCCGGAGCTCCAGTCCTCGCATTCTCTACATCGCGATTCAGACTTTTCGCGATAGTGGGTGTCGTGTTCGTAGTTCCTTGTCGTATTGGTTGTCCAAATCGACTGCACCACGCATCATGTCCAACATGTTGATGGCCGCAGCCACGGGTCTGCATCACAAATAGCAATATCAGGCTTCCCATTGAAAGACCTTGCCAATGCTGTTCCCAACCCTACCAGATCATTGTGAATCACTCCCACACCCAAAGCGGATCCAATTATGTGTAGATGTCCAATTGCTTCTACATGTAATCGCCGATCGCAGCCTTGTGACAGATGTGCTGTTCATTCAACCTCTCCAATACGTATCGTAAACGTCGCGTGGAGGTATTTTCCCGCTAATGCAACCTTACTGCCCACGAATTAATTCACGAGAGCTCAGCACTTCCGGCTGCTGTTTCGCCGTCGAACCAGAAAGCTGCACCGTGCGGGCTGCAGGATTGCAACGTATGCAACATTTGCTTGCAAGGCTTCAAGATCGGGAAAAGCTCGACACGGTACGGACGGGGAGTTTACTTCAGCAAACAAGCTACCAAGGCCAACTCCTACGCTGGGGGAAGTGAGAAGAAGGTGCATTCGTACGTCACACCTATGCTTTAGTGCAGGACGGCCGTTTCCTGTTCGTTTGTGGGACATCTCGAAGACGCGGTTGGCAACAAGCGGAGCCACCACATGAGGCGGACCTTGACTACGGCTTGGAGTACCCTAAACACAAGTTCGACCCTCCCCCCCCATCCGGAGATGTTTGAACCGTCAGTTTGCATTTTTGCTGTTCGCGTATTCTGTTTTCTAATGTGTACCTCCACGTGATCCTGTTTGCTGTGATCGCAAAGGAGAACGGGAAAAAGTTGCGATGCATCTTTGTGGCCGACGTGGCGAAGGGGAGAGACTTCGTCACCAAGAAGACCGGGTTTGATGGTGCCAGATACCCACCGGTAGGCCACGATTCCGTCCAGGGTGAGGTGAGGAGATGTATTGTGCAGTGTTCCTGTTTTGTTTTATTGCTGTTGTTGTCGTCGTCTTCTCATCAAACGCTGATCTGACGACTTCGGTCCGAACCCTCCTCTTTCGTGCAGTTCAAGCTACCCCCAAACAGGTGCACATTAATCAACTTGCAGAGGTGCAGGGCTCATCCCATCATTTTACTAAGAACTCCCCCAAGTTTCACAACAACTCCAACTATCAGACTAAACATAGAAAATGGCACAACAAAACCTGCACAACGAGGCATACCGATCGCTTCAATCCTCCCGGAATGGGTATTGGATTTCCACGGTCAACTACAACTTATCTGTCCTCGTTCTCTCACCCCATCGAAGCCGGGGAAGGGTACTATTGGATTGCTGTCCGCCGACCGGGGTCTTGGCTCCCGTACCCCTCGCCCTAACCCTAGCCCTAACACTATGGCGATGTAATACAGAATCCCACCAAAAAGGCATCGTCGACTAGTTAGACAGAACTTGACTATCCTTCTACCGCGCGATCTTTGGGGTACTGTAGTATTTTCCGATCTTTGGCAATGCTCCCACGCGCCTCGACTAGAGCGAATGAGCTCCAAGTCGCCTTTATAGCGGTGCATCTGTGCCATTTGTCACTCAGATTGGATGAAAAGGGTGCATTCTTTGGTGTGTTGCGCACAGTGGCGGAGGAAGCAACCACATTCGTGTTGGGTCTCCCACAGTTTCTACAGTTTTGCTAAAACGCCCATGGGACACCCATGGACAGCCCATGGGCACTCTGTTGTCCATGGTCAGCCCGTGGGGCTCGCCCATGGGCAACCCATGGGAAGCCCATGGGCGGCCAATGAGAGCCCTTCAACCGAACCAGTGTACTCCTCAATAGATTATCAGCGTTGGAACCGGCATATAACGGCAAATAACCCTGACGCTAACCCTAACCGTAACCCCAAGCCCACACGATACGTGCTAGGTTGGCGCTGGTGGCTAAGTTCTAGGTTGATGTGCAGGTGGCTAAGTTCTAGGTTGCTATGCCCGGTCGAATTTCTAGGTTGAGGTGCCCACGTCATGGGCATGGGCCCATGGGCGGTCCGTGGGTGACCCATGGGTGTCCCATGGGTGTCCCATGGACGGTTTAGCAAAATCGTAAGTCGTCGTGTGGGAGATTGTACGTGTTCGGCCCTTCTCCATCGTATCTAAAGCTTTTCACGTCGCTCATACGACATATCTCAGCGTCAGTGGTTCACGGTACGCCGGCTCTTCGACAGAAAATGTGGGCGAAATAATGTTTTCAGCCAGACGACGACCGAAGAGGTCGAATGAAGGAATAGCACACCCAACATATATTGTGATGACGGTGCACCTAGAGGTGGTTCCCTCATGTTGTCCACACTGACACGATGCTTCCCACCCTGCCACAATCGTCGGCAGGTCGGAAATGGGTTGGACTTCGAGGAGCTGGTTGTGTACCACGAAGAGGCCGCCATACCGACCCATCTAATCGTCTACACCGTTCCGTAGACAGACCCGGCCACCACAGGGTCACTCAATACGAGACATCACGCCGGGTGACAGGATTCACCAGAAAACATCGGACAACAATCCGCTTCGGGCTAGGCACGAGGATCGCAGCCTTCGTTTCATCGGGCTTCACTTCCACCCCTTCCACCATTACGGCATCTGCGACTTGGATAGCCTTTCCTCGTTGTGGCCTTTCCCGAAGTACTTATTGGCGGCTTGACAGTGAGTCTCCAGCCAGTTCTCGCTGTAGAGCTTGTTGGTTAAGAGCCTTTCCGGGGCAACACTCACCATCGAGTACTTCGAGTGTCTCTTAACCGCTTTTTGGCGCCTAAAGTACAGTACTTCAAACTGTACCCCCATATCGAGCGTAGGTAAGATTTGAATTCCTGGATCGGAACCGAAGCCTCCGATCCCCGCACTAAGTCGGCAGTGCGTGTCGAACCGATCGTCGAAGTGATCGACGCATCGACATCTTTCCCGGCATCGCCCGAAGTGTTCTTGAGGTCCAGCGCCTCTCCTCGAGCGCGCATGTCTTTGAACCCATGAGCTCCAGCCTCTTAAGTATCTTCTCGGAAATATCGCCATTCGGCTGATAATCATGGAGGAACGGGTCCATGAGTTGAAGGGTGAAGTCGACCCGTTTCCTCACAACAGGCGGGAACGCCTTGGTAGAACCCGCGTGTAATATGGGCAGCTTGCACTTGTTGAATTCCTTGACGTCTTTTGAATATATCTTGCCCTCGAAGAAACGCTGCACCCTGTACTTCTGGATCTTGGCTTCGTCCGCGAGCGTGATCACCCCTTGGTTTTGCTTGTTGATCAGCTTTTCAAAGTCCTTGCCCGTAGATGAGTGTGGTCATTGTTCACTTCGGTGCCCGTGGATACATGTAGAGATTCTGCAGCAGCTCCTTTTTCTCCTCTTCGTCGTCGATACGATCGATCGTCGTGAACCAGGTGTATTTGTTTGAGATTCTTTGTCCAGTGAAAATCGGCAAAGAACCGCTCCACGTTGCTCCACGCCCACAGATCCGTGAGGACGAGCAAAACTTACTTGGCTTCGTGTCCCACTCCTTTGTCGAAAATGGTTCGGTTGAGCACCCTCGGTCTCTCGTTCACCACGCCTGGGAGGTACGGTTCCAGCGGTGCCTCCATGCCCGTGGGTATGTTCACCACGACCAGGCCGCTGGTGCTGGTGTGGAAGCAGCTCTTCATCTGATTTATGTCTCGCGGGACGCATCCCGCCCCTCGAAGGGGGCATGTACACCGTGTCGATGGGCACATCATCATCGACACTGTACAGCATATGATTGTGCTAGGCGATGAGTATGTACTTCGGCCAGTGGGCGTACACGTCGGCTATCTTTGATTAGTTCGGAGAGTTGCCGTAGTATATCCCCACATTTTCCTCCCCAGCGATCGCCAGAGCCAGCTTCTCGAGGGTCTTGAGCTCTTGAGCCGATCCGCGGCACATCCCGATCTGATGGCCGTCGCGCAAAACCTGTTGAATCTTGCGTACCATCGCTGCGTCGTCTGTTCACTTCACGTAGAGCTCCTGCCCCCCGCCCCCCATGTGATCACGGCAGCATTTTTCGTGTACTGGTGCGGCTGTGCCTCGCTTGGTACAAGGGGCGGGCGGGGTGGATGGGGAGGTACTGCTGTGTCCCCCCCCCCTGCAGCTGTCTGCCGAGTTAATATCAAGAGAGTCGCTTCGTACCTGGCGTACGTTCCAATCACAGCAGCACGTACGTGCTCGCTGTGTTTGCTGTGTGTTTGTCTCCTCGTTCATGTGTGTTGATGTGCGGCGTTCTAGGTGCTGTTTCGACTATAATTGGCATTCCCTGTTTCGACATTGCAAAGCCGTTCGCCCCAGTGGTCAGGTTACAGTAGTGGTAATCGAAACCGCTAGTCACAAAGAAAGGTCGTGAGTTCGAATCCCGATGGCGTGAAAAATTTACAAATATTGCGGATGAGAGCAAAAAATAGCTCTCGTGAGTACCAAACTTCGACGTTAGCACCGTTGACGAGGGAAAGGGACGGCTGGACCCTTCTTGCGACAAAAATAAACTTCAGCACGCACCGCAAGAACCGCAGGAGGAAGGTGGGGTACGAAAATAAATACAAAAAAGAAAAAAGCCCTGGTGTGTACCCCCTCCTGTGTGACCCTGGATGGTTGTAGTTGTACGAAAAAATACACTGACAAGTGTAGTACTCTACATACACTGATGTTGTACACGTCTCACCACGAAAAATGGGGGGACTGTCGCCATAACGATTAGGACGAAAACAAAGAAACAGCAGTCCCTATTCTACGCACCTCTTGCGTTCCACCCGTTGTTTGAGACCGCAACCATCGGCACGCCCTCAACGCACAGTGTGGCCGAATCGTGGTACATCAGTACAGTAGTTACATGTGTGCCGTGCGGTGAGGCCGATGCCATGGTTGTATGTAATATGAAAGATCGCCCTGGATCGCGCATGAACACGAATGAACAATTACCGGTCGGATCATACCTTCCTCACACGGAATGGTAGGGGATGCATCGTCTGAGAGTGCTTCAGCCGTGCTCCAGCAGTATACACCACGGCCATGTTTTCAACGCACCACCGACCGAGACTGACGTGCCAGCAGCAGGTCTATGCGGATCCTGATGTTCGACCTACACTGGGTGCAGAAAACGCAACGGCTGTGTTGTAGGTATTCTCGCCTGTGTGTCATATATGTCGGGTGTGGTGGGAAAGAGCGGGTTGGATCGCGGATAAACATTTTTACCCGCCGGATCGTCCGTCCATCCTTCTTCTCCTGCTGCTGTCCACAAGTGTGACATCACCACCACAACCATGCATGCCTCCAGGTCATACTCTCTGCCCAGGCCACCACATGCGTACGATAGTGGATGTACAGCGGTAAGGTGGATGCAGTCGTGGGCCCGGTTTAGCGGTTCCCTGTTTAGCGGGATGCCCTGAATAGCGGTTATTTAATTTCGTGACACGGCTGCACCTAAACCGGTCGTGCCCTCAATAGCGGTTATTGGACATGTTTGCAGCCACCAATACCGGTTGTCGGTTCAATTTTTGCGGGGACCTGCATGTAGTGCGCGCTTCGCTTGCACATACTCACAGCACAGCGACTTGGTCAGCCTGTTAGCTGGTCGATGCTCAGAATAAAAAGGACACAGCGAGACACACACACATAAACCAAACGACGTAGGGCCAGAGAAGAATCGCCGAAAAATAGCTGAAGAAACGACGATGAGAGTGATGGTGGTGAAAGCAAGGAGCATGATGTCCAAAACGAACTCGAGTGCAAGGTGGCAGTTTTCCTCTGCTGCTACCTACCGTGTCTGCCCTTACTCCGGGGAATAGCTTTTACCTGCCCCATGCCGCCCCCTCACGAGGTCCCAGTTAATGACATAAAGAAGAGTTTTTTGTTTTCAACCGCGCTGAGACTGACGACGACGTCTTTCATTGGCCAGCCGGTTAGGGCGGTCGATGCTAATAATAAAGACACACACCATGCGGCGCGTGGATGGAGAACTGTGCAAGCTTCTAGATGCGGCACGAGTCCAAGCGGCGCGCATGATTGTAAAGGTTGCTGTGGTGGCCGCATACACGGCATGTGTGTGGGGAGGTGGAGGTTCCGGATGAGAACGAGATGCAACCGGCGTACAACCAAGAAGGCGCAGAGTTCCCCTCACTTCTCAAATCCGCCCAAGCGCCAAGAGCTTTTAGGTGGCTTTCTAGCACCAGGCGCGCGGAAAGAAACAACTCGCGCTGCAGCTACACGACAACAGCCCCACACGCGGCTCTACTTCGACTAGAATCTCGAGGTTTTGAAGCTTCTTGACCAGAAGGTAGCGCACGCAAAAATAGTGCGCACAGGAAGAGATCGCCGAAGCTTTGCGTAAAAGGGCGCGAATGACGAGGTTGTTGAAAGTTGTCCGGTATGTACATGGAGGGGGGCCTAACCCCTCCAACGACGACACGACGACCTAGAGCTAGGGCTAGATACCACCGCACAATTTGACGGAGCGAAGGACAGGGGGTGATGTCGCCGCCACCACACTCGGAGGTATCATCGGATTTTGGCCAGCGTGGAGAGCGCGGAGTCGTGTGGCGTAAGCGAAGCAGACACTATTTCGCAAGGCAAAAATGGCGTTCCTCGCAGCGCACGCCGCTCCTCCAGCGCGCAAGGCAGATACCAGAGAGGTTGTTTTGGGTGAAGAATGATCGATACGCGACACACGGCAGAAATGAGATGCTCAAGCACGTGGTTGATTGCCATTGCGTTGTCACAAGTTTGTCTCATCACCTACTTCACTTCGTTAGAGACGCGAATGATACAGTCCAGAAGGGAGAATAATCTTCGTGCTTTGGCGAATTGAAATACATCATTAATGAATGTGCTTGCGGCGTTGTCCTTCATTGGCTCGTTACTTCTTCATCTGCACCTTCGTATGACTGCTGCAATGATACGCATGGCCCTATCAATACCAGCTCTCCACGCTGTTATTGTAGGGCAAAAATGGGCTTTTTCCCGGTTTAGCGGTTCATGACCGCTATTAATAGAAAACATGGCGGTAAAAAATAATTATCACGATCCACGGCGATCTTTCATCCATAGTCGATGACACCTGTGGAGATTTCAACGTATATGAGTCACACAACAGGATATTTCACGAGGTTCATCCTGAGGCACACGCCAGGTTGCGTAAGTCGTTGCTGCAGCCAAATTTAGGAAGATTATGGCAACCCACCTCGACCAGTCGTTGGTTCGCAATGTCGGTCGGTGGTCACATACAGCGCGATAGCTTGATTGCACCTCTTGTGATAGGTTTCGGCCGAAGGGGCACAGAGACAACGTGAGGGAGGTGCACAGCCACGGACCTGGGAATTATTTGGCTGGCACAACGTGTTTCAGTCTCACAGGCTTGTCTCTTCAAGCCTGGTCTGATATGTTGGAGAGTCCGGGTGAACCATCGAATGTAATCTCCTTTGCGAAAATTCGAGGGATGCGACAACTCAGCCTGGAATATCAAACATCACCACGCTGCCCCAGATGAAACGGTTCCAATGATAGAGTCTCGAACTTGTCGGCTTGACAAAACTTCTGAAAAAACCCGGCTGTCTCCATGCCAAAATATCCTACGACGAGTGGCAGAACTAAGGGAAGGGGAGACGTGCAATCATCATCCACTTCCCAAGGAAGAGTCTCCGGACGAGTCCACCACCGGAGGTCCTGCTACTACTATCGCTGGATCTCCTGTTACTGCCACTGTCGTGGATACCGTTCCTCCAGCCGTTGCATCTCCTACTGCCGCTGTCGTGGATACCATTCCTCCTGGCGCTGCATCTCCTGCTACTGCCGATGTCGTGGATACCATTCCTTCTGCCGCCGCATCTTCTGCTACAGCCGCTGTTGCGGGTACCGTTCCTTCCGCGGCTGCATCTCCTGCTGCTGCCGCTGTTGCGGGTACTGTTGTTCCTCCCGCCGCTGCCTCTGCTGCCTCTGCTGCCGGTGCTGCTGCGGCTGCTGCTGTTTCTGAACCAGACGGGTCGCCGCGTCCGACAGCAGAAGGAGCGGGTTCCGGCGTCTCATACTCGATGCGTTCGAACACCATGACGAGTTCCATGTGCGGGGTGTGAGGGAACATGTCCACGGGAATGGCCTGCATCGGGGCAAGGAGGGCGGGTAGTGGGGGTGACGGTACATGGTCCCGGGGATTGTGCTCGTTAGCAAGCGCTTGTTTTTCTCGAGAGTGCAGTCCGTACACCAATGTTCCGCTCCAAAGTTCGCGACAAGGCGTGTGGGTGGGCGTCCGATCAATTTCAGGCGCCGAAAAGTTGAGTTATTATTGATCTTGTTGGGATTTCCACCCTATGGTTCCCTCGAAGTCAAGCGTAGTGCTCTCATACATAGGGGCACGTGCTTGATCTCCGGGCTCGCCACACCGCAGACATGAAGTAAGGGATACAAACGGTGGGCTCCCTCGGCTCGCGACGTTCACACGTTCCGCATCATCACGGGTTTCGCCGAACTGCAGACAAGCATCGTGCGCACCACGTCAGGGACCGCATGGAGCAACACGGAGACTTCAGCGGCATTATTCCGTACCGAATTCCAACACAGCAGTATTTGCACCGTATACATCCCCTTGTCGCTCAAAACAAACCTTGACAGGCCGGAAGGGCAGCCCCGTAGTACTCTTGGAAACGGGAGTGCACAGGATGGTTGCATCCGCCGCCAGGGACTTGGTGGGGTTGCACGACACGTACACCTGAGACAGCCAACGTGTTCCGGCCACAAAAAATGTTTCGACACTCCTGACACTGCAATCAGGTTCACTACTAACTGGGAGAATATCGCATGGGCCTGCGACCATCAAAAGTCGTAGTATCCGATCATCTTTGCATCTACTGCATGATCTTTGACAGAACAGTTCTAAGTGCGCCAGTTCAATACTACCATTGAAAGTCGAGAAAACAGCAGCAGCAGCAGCAGCAGCAGCAGCCGCCGCAGAAGTAGCAGCAACATTTCGAGGTGGTGGTTAGCAACTGGTCACAGGTTGATCAAGCTCATCTTCGGGCAGACAACAACCGCAGCTCAGGACCTCTCAGAAGGCTTCCAACTCACGCAACTAAAGAGCACAGATCGTCAAAAAATGAAAGCGTACAACAAAACGATGGCCTCGCCCCCTCGTATGGTATCCACACAAATTGGAAACAGCTATAACAGCGTGGAACGGCTCATCATGCTAGGAAGTCGGTTGGTTAACATGCTGTTCGGAAGTATATACAGTAACACCTTCAATAGATGGACGTTTTCTTTCCGTCTCGGCCAGCTACCTTTGCCAGCGCAAAGATGCTGCGGGTGGCATCGGACTGCCTATGCAAATGAAGTGAATCGAATACGAAAAAAGGCCAGGCAGCGGACACGCAGACCCTAGCCCTAACCCCAACGTAGCCGATACTATACCTTATCCAATATGTCTGATTACGTGGAATATCTGCGTAGACTACGGATGGCATCTCACCAGCCTCTTGATCGCCTTCGTGCCCCGGATCGACCGTAAACACTTGGCATGAACGCCCGAGCGTGGGGGGTCTACAATGGCCGCAAACTTGAGCTCGCCAGTGGCAGCAGGAGCAGCGGCGGGGGACGCGGTGCTCCCTTCTTCGCCTGCCCCTGCTGCCGGTGCACCAAGACTTGCCTTGTGTTGCTTGAAAGCATTCGCTATCTGGCCGGCCACCACGGCCTCCGCCTAACAATAGTGTAAAAATGTAAACAGCAAAGGTGTGAATAGCCGAAAGAAAAAACTTGATCCAGCGACACTATAACGCATGAAAAGGATAAACAACACATTTATCTAGATGGAGATGCCGCCAATAAGTGCCACGACAGGGTTGCTGATTTGAGAGACCTACCCACTTTCAGGTACGAAAGCATACTGAATCATTACGTCCTTTCTCTTGAGTATTATTATTCGTCTATGGTGGGACACTCAGCCGCATGGACGTGCACACGCTAAGCCTCGGGGGAATTGTACACACGCAAAGCTATTCTCCCTCCTCCCCCTCTTGCGCAGCCGGTCTGGTAGACTCGACATCATCGTAGGCTATCATTCACACAGAGAAGTACCTTGCAGCGAACCAACGCACATATGAGTCGGAGGCCCATCATCATTCACAACAGATCCGCGACAGACAACACACGTAGTGGGGGTGTACACGTGTGAAAGGGGTTGGCCATCACACGCGAGAAAGAATGAAGCAAGCAAGCAGCGTGGGAGCAGTGCGCCACTTGGAAATAAACACCTATCTGGAGCTAACAAGAACAAATGGCCCATTGTCCCTGGGCAACCAACGCTCCTTGCCGTGTGGCCACAGCACTCACTCAAGAGCGGACATTGGGTGCCTGGATGGCTGCGACAACCAATCACACCAAATAGGGGGGGGGGGGAGGTCGCACCTTGCCACACACGAACTCGCAGTTATCGATGCCGTTTGCCAGGGCGTTACGCCGAGCATCCTCGATCGCCGGGAGGCAAATATCCGATCCGTAAACCTAGGGAGACATGTAGCACAGCCAAGCGAAACAGAAGAAATTGACGGTTCCATCGCAAAGGAGGTAAACACCCCATTCGTCGATCCAGCATATAGCACCGACACATCACGGCATAAATACAAGCAACCGATGCGACCGAAATGGTTTCGCGGTACGTACAGAGTACAACGTGAGCTCAATATAGTAGCCTAGGGTCACGGGAGCCGTGTCTAGGCCAGCAGGATCAGTGCCGATGGTGGAGAGACAGCGAGAAAACCATCAGAACGGCCATCAAGTGTCCCCGAAAACGATGGGGGCAACACCGTAAGAGTGCGTCGGACACACGCGACGAGACCTTATCTCAGTGACGTCATTCTCATGAAAGGATATCGCGCCAACCTACCCTACACGTCGAACCAATCAACACAGGTGAGCGACCGTGTTTCAAACCACAGAAAGGCAAAACTGTGCTAGGCTTGAGAATGGAAAGGAAGGCAGGTCAACCACATGTTGGCGTGGAACCTCACCTGCTTCGCCCCGCCAGCCGCAGCGGCGCAGATTCCTATCGTCCCGGCCCCGCAGCATACATCCAACACCACCGCATCATCACCGAGTTCAAGGTTCTGCTCGGAAGAGCGAGTGGCGGAGTACGGGTGTGGGCGTGGTGGACTCGGGAAAGGAAACAGTAGCGGGTGCGTTTCGAAGGCAAGAAACGCAGAGCGTGTTGACAGCACTAGGTTACCGTAGGTGACATATTATACTACACCCCCTGGACCGATATTCAGAGCTCGACTACTCTCAGTCGAAGAGGATGCCAAAATTGAACGATTAGTTTGTGGAAAGATATCGACGAGACGGTTCGAATGCGATACATGCTGTAGTCCCACAACTCCTAGAAACAAGCGTACACACATCTCTTGTCAACTGGCAAGCATCAGTCTCCTTCTCACCTCGATGACCACCTTGTACAACGCCTCAGCTCCTTTCGTGTTCACCTACACACACACGCAGAGCAAAGAGAGAGCGAGAGGGGCGGGCGGGGACGGGCGGCGCGGTCCAGTGTCTCCCACAAGCGCGCACTTTATGATCAACTGGAGGACTCGCCGGCAGTGACCCAGGAGGCTTCATTCATGAGCAAAAAAAAAAAAGCCGAGAAGGTAACGCGGAAGTCGAATTGCTCTTTCGCACGAGTGAGCTCAGCCTAAAAATTTGGACAGCAAAAAAAAGCGCACGCTCGGCTAGCTATACAAATGCTCAACTCTAAAAAAAACGATCCTCCCGTCTTCTGCAATGTCCATGCCCGAAATACAACTCGGCAGGTAGAACGATGTGAGTGGCACGTGACCACGTGGCGAGATCAAGAGTTCATACTCATTCCATCTTATCCCTAGGATTCTAGGTCATCGTTGCTTCCAATTCTTCGCGTCAGCACCATAGACAAGGTCGGCCCTTTCCACGCACACATCGGTTCGCGACAACAAGATGGCAACGAGAACTTCGGCGGGATGCTTGACAGGAGGCACCGTGGAAGAGCTCCTCTAAAACCAATCTTCAAAGAGTCGACGCCGATTGTACGCACAAGACTCGAAGTGTGTTCGCTGCGCTACAGATGTCCCGCAAGCCTACTCGCCAAAAGTGTTTGCTGTTCTACACCGCTCCAGCAAGCCGACCCGCAGAAACAAAAATAAAAAAATAACACACCGGATCAGCTTTTGGAAGCATTTTGTGTTTTCAACCGCACTGAGACTGACGTCATTGGTCAGCCGGTTAGCACGGTCGATGCTGATCATCAAAACACGAATACAAACACACCTGGAAGAAGGAGTTTGGCGAGATGGTGAAGCGGAGGCCGAGAAGCTCCTCCTCCAACCGCTCCTTACCCCACAGCAAGCGCATCGGCGATGTCTCGTCTGGGGATGACAGTCCCGCGTACTCCTGCACCCACAAAGACACCTGGAAGCACGCGGGGGGAAATCCTTCACCATGTTAGCCTCATAGGTGCCAACAAAGATACCACTTCACCGGACACGAGAGCACACGGTATATTATATTTCTTCCCCAAACCGAAAAAAAAAAAAGTCTCTTGCGTCCCCAAAACTGAAGGAAAACAAATACCCAACTCAGGCCGAGTCTTACAGCTTGATCATTTCGGAGATTGTTTCTCTCGGTCGGGGGGGGGGGTGGCTTGCCCGGAAAAAATTATCAGGATCCAAACGACCGTCTTACGGTTCCCCGAGGTGTATTTTTTTCTGAAGGGAAAAAAGAGGGTGATTCATGTTCTTGTGGGTCACAACATGCTTCAGTACACGGTTTTGGCTCGTGTACGACCAACAAGACACCGAGCGCCCTGTTTATGGGTCGCCTGCAGAGGGCATGTGTATCATCGCACGCTATCGGCCGCAGTTTGTGGATATCGTCGGCCAAAGGCCTCTCTCTGATGGCATGCGTTGTGGACTGATCACGCTCGGAGCAAGCAGCAGAAAAAAAAGGCAACGTCCAAAAAAGGCAACACCGAACCACACCTCGGTTCACGTTTACAGGCCGTGTGCAATCAAACTGGACAATACGCTCTGTTTCTGGGACGCGAGCAGAGGGTATGTGTATGACCACACGCCACTGGCTGCTGTTTGTGGATGTCGTCGGCCAAAGGCCTCTCTCTGGCATGCGTTTTTGACTGGTCGCGGGTGACACACGGAGCAAACACGCGGCGGAACAAAAAAAAAAAAATCAACACCGCAACACACTTTGGTTCGCGTTTGCAGGCCGTGTGCAAATAAAACTGGACAATACGCTCTGTCTCTGGTCCGCGAGCAGAGGGTATGAGTATGACCACACGCCATTAGCTGCAGTTTGTGGATGTCGACGGCTTAAGGTCTCTCTCTCGCGTGCGTTTTCAACTGGTCACACATGCAGCAGGCGCAAAAACGGCTCTTCTCGGCCGAAAGGCAAGAACGTCAGCAGAGCAATGTGGCAGGGTTGACGTTTTCGGCTCGTGTGCGGCCAACACGACGCAGGACGCCCTGAATTTTAGATACCTGCAGAGGGTTTGTGCATGACCTCATGATACTGGCCTCTGTTTGGCCAGCAGACGGTGTAGTTCCTCGTTCTGGCACGATCGGGGTGTGACCAGGGGGTACCCCCCCCTCATTTCGAACAGCGATATTCCAACAGGATCACTGTTGGAAAATGGGCCAATTTTCTAACAGGCCGGCCGGAATCGCTGTTGGAACTTGGGCTGCTGGATTTTGCCATTTTCCAACTCGTAAGACGCCCAAACTATTTTTTGGCTCAGAAAAGGACCTCCCCCCCAAATCCAATCCGGAAATAATCACGCCGTAAGACTCAGCCTGAAAATAATTAATACCCAAAACTGAAAATGAATGTTGCGTCCCGAAAACTGAAAATAAAAAACTACCCACAACAAAATAAAACATTATGTCGACAAATATTCCAGGAGGATATGGAAAACCCTCGCATGGGGGAAGGGAAGGGGAAGCCCTTGAACATCCCATCTGCCAGGAAATTCAGGAGGGATATAGGGCCTTGGGCCACCTCAACCACAAGGAAAGTCAGGAGCGTTTTGTTGACGGGAGTTTGGGGGCGGACATGGGGGCGCGCAGTTGGTCTGGCCACGAAAATGATAACAATGGATCCCTCGCGCCTCGACAAGAGGACCAGCGGTACGGAGACAGGCCGAGCGCGAGGAAAATTGCTCATGGTCCTTCCTGCCCATCCCCCACATCAAGGAGAAAACCTGTTGAAAACCACGAACACACGCAAACAAGCAGCATTCATTTCCTGTGTGGAGACTGTTTGCGGCCGAAGCATACAATACAATCGAAAACGATGCACGAAACAAAAACACTCACCAGTTTCGTTCCTTCCTCTCCTTGAGCCCCGGCGGACAACTCCTTCACGAGGCGCTCTTCCTCTTTCTTCCACTCCTCCGTGTCCTTCACATCCCTGTCGTGTTTAACAAACGACCGCCAAAACAAAACGAATCAAATAAAAGGTCAACCAAGAAGGGGTGCGTGAAACTCCTGTCGGTGTTGTTGTTGTTGGGTTCACAGAAATAATCGATCTTCAGTCTTTCAAATATAGGTAGTGGTCCGACTGACTCGGGGAGTCTTCCGTGGTCACAGGAAAACTACACCCCCAAAAGGGGTACACGCTAGAAATCAAATGGAAAACTATGGTCGGGGAGAGAGACGCGAAAGAACGAAAGATTCGGTCTGGAACTCCGTGGCAAGGCGTTCTTTCATTTTTTCCCTCTCCTGCCTTGCCTCTTGGGCGAAACCAACTGTAACTGTACAACGTATTCGAAATTACGGTAGCAAATGCTGCAACGTGCGAATATCGGCGAATAATGTTTGCTGCAGCGGTTTGATTTGGCTCAGCGGTGCTATCCGCTATCCGGTGTGTGGTAATACGCCGCATATCGCATGGCGTCAATAAACCCCGCTCGTAGTGGACAACCAATCTACCATGTCATATTTTGGTGTTTGTGACAATTCCGCTTGTGGAAGAATACGATGGACCAATACTGCTGCCCACATCAATACAACGCGTTGTCAATGTCAAGCCAGGATGAATCGGCAGAGCATACTGTTGTCTGTCTCTGTGAAGATCTTGAAGAAGGACTGCATCAGTCAATCCAGCAAAAAGTTAAAGTCGGGAAAAAACACGAAACAAGCAACGACTGCATTACAAAAATTCCGTACAATCTAAAAAAAAGCGTTTGTCCACTTGAGATTCCTCAAACCCTCTGAAAAACGGCGCTCAAGATGTCTTTGGTGTTGGAACAACTCACGTGGGGTTTATGACGACCATGGCCATGCCTTCCTTGTCTGCGGCCGAGCGTCGGGCGACGAGCAAACGCCACACTCCCTTTTTGGTCGCCTGCCGCAAGCAAACAATGAAATCGCCAATCAGGACCCATTTCACAGCTGCAAACGAACAAAGGAACGCCCGGCAGAGCAACGCAATGTCTACACGTCCGCCGACAAAAAAGATAAGGGGGTTTCGGCAACAGCACACCAACGTCCTGCCAACTATTAGTCATCCTGAAAAATGAATTCGATAAACTGTTCTTCTGTTCTTGGCCACATGACCCTCACTACAAGTTGGTTGACTCTGTGCGACACGACTGTGCTCAAGAGTCACCCTTGCGAGTCTCTGCACACAGTCAGCTGCAACATTGCACCATTTCAAACATAAACACGGGGGTCCGCGTTGGAACCACTACCCTAATCACAGTCTGCATACGCATACGCATGCCCGTCGAAAAAACATCTCGTCTACGTCCCAGGCATGGCGTGATATATGTTATTTTTCGTTTTTCTCACATCGTCGTAGAGCGGAAACGGCGAGCTCCTCATGAACGCGTCCATCTGCACGCAAAGCTTCTTCATGTCTCCGTGAACCTGGATCGATGCAAACCGCCGACAGAGAGTGCAATCGAACCAAGACATCAGAAGCATCTACCCAAAAGCAGTTGGCTCCTTCCATCTCTTCCACACAGTTGTCTAGCCACAGTTCCGAACGAAGACAAGAAAGTGAACGGGAGGACACCCCTACATCTGTTGTTGGCATATCCTTCAGGAACAATCGCACAAGAAATAGAGGCAAATCACACCGACGTTCTTCTTTATGGTTGATACAACGTCTTCTCGAACGCACTTGAAGCGAAACTTCGTGGAACCCGCTCAACACAACAGAAAAAGGAGGCTGCACGCAAGAGCGAGGAACCAACAGACGAGAGAGGGGTGCACGCGCCGTCTCTCCACCTGGCTCGCGGGCAGACACCCAACCTCTACGGCAAAAACGATTGACAACCTGTTTTGCGAGTACAAAATAAGCACACTCAAACCTATTTGGTGCGCAGCGGCGGCGTGATCGCATCAGCTCTCTCTCTCTCCCTCTGTTTCCTCCTCTCCATAGCTCTCTCTGTGTCTGTCTTGTCTGTGTGTGTCTTGTCTGTGTCTGTCTTGTCTGTGTTTGTCTTGTCTGTGTCTGTCTTGTCTGTGTCTGTCTGTCTGTCTGTCTGTCTGTCTGACTGACTGACTGACTGACTTTCTGTCTGTCTCTGTCTCTGTCTCTGTCTCTCTCGCTCTTTCTCTCTCTCTCTCCTTCACCTGAGGACAGTCCTTTGGTGACTCCACCGTGATGGGTACCCCCGCTTGGAACCTACCCGCACGGAACCCAGCCGTAGCCAGCCCGTCCTCGGAGAGACTCAGGGTGAACTCGCACTTGTTCCTGTAACCCTGTAGAGCAGGGTCATGAGCCGAAAACAAGGAAGCAAGACGCACGTGTCGGGCATTAGGCCCGAAACTCAACCCATAGATAGGCCTACACGTGACAAGACTTACGTTGTCCAGCTACAACGCCGATGTATTTCCGTCCGGTTAGCGTCGTCAATGGCATGGTACCACTGTAGAAACTACAATATCACAACGGCATACAGCTCTTCAGTGGTATGGTACTACTATATACTGAAAATACAGTAACACACCCACGTAAACAAGGGCATACGCCTTTGTATTTTTCCGTTCGTCACCGTAGGAACGTGTGCCCTTTTTCGGTAGTTGACCTGTCACCACGGAAGTCCTCCTCGCCAGTTCCACCAGTACGGACGTTAAAAGGCACTGGGCAGAGACCGAAACGACGCGAAGACAACGACAAAACAGTTACAGGAACGCATCCACAACCGCAAACACAGGCGCACACTTACGTACCTCCGGCTCCGGAGCCGGGACAATGGGCGACACGTCGAAGGGCACGGTCCCGTCGCGGCGCTTGAACATCCTGCACCAGGCCGGACAACGGAGCTCCGCCGGCTTGTTCAGGGTACCCCCACCACCGCCCTGCTTCATCCCCTGGTTCCTCTTCCACTCGCGGAATCTCTTGTCCCATTCGTTCCTGTGTGAGGAGGAAAACAGTTGCTGGAATGTTCAATGCTGCTGTGGTTGTGGTCGCGGCACACAAGAAACTATGCTTCCGACCTCATTTCAGTGCCTCGTAGTTCTCTTCGCACAAGACCGACTGCGTGCCAGTGGCCACAGGCTCTTCCAAACAAGGCGCAAGGGGTAGTTGTTATCTGAACCAGGGACTGCATTGTACATAGAAAGACACCATTCTAGGTTCCGACCGCGCATACTCAATCCTATGGAGCACGAGGCCAAGTGGCCTTAGAGCTTGTTACCCACAGGGGAGATATTGCTGTATGCTGCTCGGAGAACCTAAGAAAAACAGGTTGGCCACCATGCAACACTATATAAACGCGTTGCTAATCTATCACGGACTCTTGTCTGTGGATACAGACGGGTATGTTGTTTAATACGGACGACAAGGTGGTAAGTAGAAGGGGACAGAGCGGGCAAAGCTTAACCCTGTTTCATTGAAAACCGCCGAAGCGTAATCACTGAAAACTGCACCGTTGGATCAGCATGTCTGGCTGATTCCGAACATGAACACACAATTCACACACAGAGCACCGTTTCTCTTTTATCATGTTGATTTGACAATACGCCGTTCGACCGCAGGCCAACATGATAACTTGCGGGAATACGGTATCTTGTAATGTTGGGAGAAGCGAAGTGGGGGAAACAAACCCTTAAAGGAAGGGTGGGGGGGGGGGGGGGTACTCATGAAATCGCATGCCGTACAAATGACCGCGCATGCCTACAATGCCAGGACGGAGCGATATGCCGGGCTTTCACCGGCCCAGGCTACATACGCTTCGTGAGGATGAACCGGAAGCTAGTCACCATCTTTGCGTTCCCTGTGCCAAGGGAGCGGGGTACATGATGTATCGCCACATCTCTAACCCTTCTCTGGTACAGAGGCGCTCAACGGTAAGCGTTTCTTAACTTGATTCAACGCTACAGTCCCTCGTCAACATCTGATCCATCCACACATCACCATGATGCGTTTCTCCTTTGCCCACAAAAAAATTATTCATAACTCACCTGATGACAATGGGCAGCTTCAGGAAGAGGTCGTCCATGAGAGTCTTTTCCTTGAAAGCCAGCTGTTCGGGGTAGGTCTTGACTCCGTATAGCGATGCCGTGGCCTGTGCCACCGTTTTCCGCTCCGCCTCCTGCACACCAACACCACCACCACCACCAAGTCATCAACAACAGCACCAACGACGTCATCATCATCATCAACAACAGCAACGGGATCAACAACGAAACGACACTTCACCAGCAGCAGCAAAACAAAAAAATCGGCAACGGCAACGAACAACAGCATCAACAGCAGGGACAACAAATTATTGCGCATCGCCGTCCGAAACGCATCCTAGGTTCCTGTCTCAGTACGCCGTCGTGTATACTTCTTTCATGTGCCTCAACGGTGACCTCGTCAGCCGAAAAAAGCATAATACCATACAGCGCGATCTCGGTAAGCGCGGCATTCCCCTGCGCTTCTCTTCAGTAACGACTGCTCCTGATCCTGGCGCAATAGCCGCACCGTATGGCATCCCCGACAAGAAATGATTTATTTTCGTTCAGCTTTTTCTGGATGTCGGTCCTTGAACCTTTCGGTGCCATTCTGGAAGCACCAGCCGGGGCCACGCAGGGAAAATATGCAGTACGCTACCTCCTGGGAGGACAGATTCAGAAATCTGAACTTTTCTGCGAAGCTCTCGGGGACATTATTTCACTGACAGCTTGGTCTCGATTCACCAAATCTTCCCTCGTGTGACCCTTGGGGTTTGCCGCAGGCTGCCCCGACCCACTCCCACTTCCGTGCAAAGAAGTAGAAGTGGACACCGGGCTTTCCCCACGGGTTGCACGAGCCAAGATTTGGTGAGTCAAGATCAGCTTCTCAAGGCTATCAGCGCAATGTTGTCGAAGATGAGCTTCGCAGATAAATGGGGACTTCTTAATCTGTCCTCCCGAGAGGTAATCTCTCTCCTTGCATTGCGCATTCACACTCGTTTCAAAGGGAATCATCGTTGCCACAGATACCAACACAGGAACCAGAGAGCAGCACAGCAAGACAGGGTAAGAGATAGAAAGAAGACAGACCGAGACAGACAGGTAGAAAGACAAGACACGTAGATAGACTGCCAGCCAGCCAGATAAAATATAGTTAGAGCAGTAGAACTTATGATAAGAGACACGCACAATCACAAAAGAGGGACACAAGGTTGCTGCTTGCTCACGAGGCCACATTTCAAGTGCGCAAGTCTCGCACCCGCGAGGTGATGTCTCCACCCAGTAACACCCCACCCCGCCTGTTGCTGCTTTCTGTTGTGCCCCTAGCCTACACTCCTGCCCACGAGCCTAACGCTTCCTAACACATCTAAACTGCTGTCCAATGTGGGAGCAAAGGCGTGACCCTGAGAACATCTACACACGGACGTATCCGATTACCAAGGACAAACACCCACGACACGGGTTACTGTTGAAGCTGGGCGGAGATTGTTGTGGTGGTTGTTACTGTCCAAGAGCAGATTTAGAGATGCCCACTGTATGCTGAAAAAAGAGAAGATGTTATAGCGTGCGTATGCCTGCCGTTGAACAAAACCATCTCGTATTTTCGAGGTGCGAGTTCGAACAGCAGGCGGGGCTGCACTCATGAAAGCGCATGAATGCCTCCATTGTGGAAGACGTAAATGTGACAGCCAATACCTTCATTTCAGAAGGGTCTTGACTTTCCCATTGTCTTCATTCCCAATGTTGGCGTTCATGCGATTTTATGAGTACGGTTCCGCCTGCTGCATCCACTAGCGCCTTGTTCGTGAAGTAAAACGAGATGAAAAAGAAAGACAGGAGCACCAAGACAGCTACAAACCCACGGGCATAAAAAAAAACACAGCAGTGTACCACATGGTGGAGGGTACGGAGAACAACAGCAGCACACGCATAAACACGTGACAAATGAAACACGGAACGGGACACGACAGCAATGGCTGCAGCACACACCAGTAAGAACAAAGAGGACCGAAGTGTGTAAATAATAACCCAAGACGTGAACTTGAAGAACACGCCTAGGAGGAAGAAACGCAACTCGAAATACCTCTACAACTCCCCGCTCTAACCTGGCGCGGGCGTTTCGACGCGTCCCCGCCCCTCCCATCATCGTCGCCGTCTCTCGCGCTGCGCTTGTTGCCCCTGCCGATGTCGTTGTTCTGCTTCTGCCTGGCCAGCACCGCGAACATGAGCTCGCCCCCCCTCGCACCCACGATCTTCCTGAGCTGTTCCATGGCCACGGCGCGTTGCTCCGCCGTCTGTGCATCACCGGGGGCCGCAGGGGTCAAACGATGTGTGGTTACTCAAGTGTCACCAGCTGTTGTCAGCCATTTGACCGTTGACCACGCGCACGTCCGGAGGCGGACTACCGCTTACCCTTCAAACATTTTAAAATGGAAAAACACCGTCAACATACGACTGTTTAGTGATTTTCAGCCAGAAGGGGACGAGACCGAGGCAGTCGCAGGCGATGCCACTGGTGGCAGTCTGTTCGCAAACCGATTGCTGACTCGTAAATAAACAAGCCAGACAGCACATGTGGGTCCGACCAGCAGCACACACTGCCCGCGATCGTGAGTAATGCGGTCTCCTCCTACCCGCTTTTCACTCGCAACCATTAAGGGAAGGGGAACGGGGGGATCATTCCATCTTTTTCCTGCACAAGTTGTTGCACGGCTGGTTGCTTGCCGGCAGAAAAGCTGTCAACGCGGTTGAAAGCAGCAAGTTGCCAGTTGTCGAAGCGTCCACCAAAGAGGTCTTGGCGGCCCGGCGGCCCCTCCGCAACATCGCAATCGACGATTCGACAACGAAAAACGAGCGTGGTACACTCGTGAAGGGATTTTGCCCATCGCAGACGCACAAGGTCTTGTCACGGGCGCTCATGGCAGCGAAGTTATATTTAGTCAGGGTTTCAACGTAAAACACATTTCTGTCGTGGTTTGTCCCGAAGCGTGCTCAAGAAGCAGCCCAGCCCAGCACGGTATGGTATCAACGAAGAGGACTCTTTACCCAACACCAGAAGACGCCCACGTTGACACACAAACTCGATAATATGAAGGCCTGACGGTACAACCTTTTGGGATGTCCTCTAAAGCCACTGGTTTCATCTCGAGCGAAAGCATCTCGAGCGGAAGCATCTCGAGCGAAAGCGGTGGCTAGAAAGGAGAACGGAGAAGGATTTGCCGTCAGACGTTTCATATCGAGTGTGGGATCGACATGGGTGTCGTCTGCTGTCGGGTCAAAGTTTTTTTTCATGTTTTTTTTCATGGTTCGCGCGTGTGAGGACAGACCATGACAGAAACAAATTTGCCTGCTGAGGGCGCCGGTGGCGACACGTGGCCTCTCTGGGATGTTGGAGAACCCCCTACTACAAGTGTGCGCCACGTTCATTTTTCATGGCGGAGTAGGCGATAGGGATGACGCAGCAGAGGGTGTTGCAGAGGGGGCTTCGGGGGCGTTGAAAAAAAGGCAACCCGTTGCTGTCACCCGAGCTGACCACCCTCAACGGCAAGCAACCAACCTTGTTACAAAATGGACAGGAAAGCATGGCCTATGATCTCCCCATGCCCCTCTATTGTCAATGAAAAGCGGGGCAGGAGGCCTGGACGGACGCCACAGCACCCACGTGAGATGTGGTCCATATCGGTCATCTGACTCGTTCATCAAGGAGGGCAGAACTGATTTGCCTGCAAAAAAAAGTCAAACGTGCGGTGGCATCGTCTGCGACAGGGTCGTTCTCGGTACTTTTATCTCTGAAAAACTAGTATAATGTCCATTCGGATGCAACTATTTAACGTTTGTGCCACAAGAGGGAGAGGGGAAGGAGGGGAGGGGGGCATCTACGAGATGGGGGGGGGGGGGGCTTGGTCGTTGCCTACGTAAACACGATGCACGTGTGCGAATTTGAACAATTTGACCAAACATGCTGTCGAAGAACAGACTGGGCAGCGTCCCTCCTCGACCCGAACCGTGCGGGTACATTTGGTGATCCAACCGTAACCATCCATTGCTTCCGAGAGGCCGCGACGGGGGCGTGAAGGGGGGGGACGGGACCCTGACTAAACATATTAACGATATGTAGGTAAAATAGGACAAATTACTAAGCGCAAGTCAGTGCGTTTTCACCGCCTTGCCAACGCATATCAGGTAAACAGCAGATTCGTGCCGGTATTCACCAGTAACAATGAGAGCCACCTGCGACAAAAAAACATGCTCAATTCGAAAGCTGTTTGTTTCAACCGGTTGGAAGTGGTCGCCGTGATTGCAATTCGCCCTTCCATAAACGCTTCCAAGAGATTGCGCCATCGCTATCAGTGGATGAGCCCTACTCCAACAGGAACCACGGGCGCCGGAGGCGTCGTCCCGTGAAGCACGGCATCATGGCATCATGGCATCAACTACAAGTAGTGCCGACAAAATATCACACCGTTTCAACAAGTCAACGTGCTCGTAGCTGACTGGACGGCATGACACATTCCATGCACTCGCGCACGATGAATGATGAGCATCTTCGGGATTCGAATACCTCACATGATTGGGCGGGCGTTTTCGACTCTATTTTAACGACCTGAGTGCGTTATCTCAACTAAGGTGCCGTGTTCAGAAGGGGCTCAGTGTTCAGGGCCGCAAGCTTGCCAGCAATTTTCATCGGCGCTATTCACAGCAGTACGTGGAACACTCTGGCGATCCCTCGTGTGGCACACACGCTTTCGCTGGCGCTCAGCCGGCACCTAAATATTGCTCGACCTGCATCACGGAGCCCCCGCCATACGAGTTGTCCTTAACTTCAAATATCGACTACATCTTACCCCTTACAGTAGCTTGTTTGGTAACCGCTACACGGAAATGTTCTCGGGCGACGCAGCACTTCTGGCGGGAGATGCTAAAACGCTCGTTCAACTGCTAATGCTGTGCGTACACAATATTTCAACAAATCATGTTGTCTTCAGATGAAGCGAACTACAGTAGTGGCATGGTTAGTGCCAAATCGCAGCACACGCCACCACAACTCACGTTACCAACTGTTATCACTACAGACATACCTCGAACGTAAGCGTGCCGTGAGTAATGGAGGGAGTCTTTTTCGCCCTCTTGTACTGGACGCTGTTGTTCTTCAAGATCTTCTCGAACTGGGCCAGGGTGGCGTGCTTGCCCACGTTGAACACCGTCACCTGCGGCGATGGATGCATGGCCGTGTCGTCGTACATGACGAAATCAAACCAAAGCGTTTTAGGCAAATAAACAAACTGACTTCGAACACAGGGACATGACTGCGCGTCTTAGGGGATAACTTGCTCTGGCATGTTGGTGCGAAGCGTACGTCGACAGGGTAGTGCGGCAACCGTGGGCGCATGATCATGTACAACCCCCCCAACAGGCGCTACAGCAGTTGTTCAGTATGTGAGGGGGCGCTTCCTCTTGATATGATTGGGTTGATGTTTAGCTTTCATGGGTGCTCGTGCTCTGACGTGCTTACTGATGCCGGGCATCGAGATGTTCAAGGGATGTTGTAGCAATGCGTTGAAATGAAAATGCGGGAGGCGTGAAAACAGCAGTGGCCCAAAAGCGAAAAAAAATGAGCGGAAACAAAAGATCGTTGTGCGAGAAGCCCGCCCAGCATATTATCAGTATACGTACCCCCTGCCACTTTGCTCTGTGATGTCAAGGTGAACAAGAAGGAAGCATGTGGGGGTTTTGGGCAAGACATGTGAAGGGGGAAATTCCCCCCGGACCATGAAGTACGAATTGTCTGTCTTGTTCGATCATCCGGGGGGGGGGGGGGCGGCCGACAACTTGGGTTTTCCCCCCTCCCGCTTTTTCATTTCAACGCATTGCTACAACATCCCTTGAACATTTCGATGCCCGGCATCAGCAAGCACGTCAGAGCACGAGCACCCATGAGAGCTAAACATCAACCGAATCATATCAAGAGGAAGCGCCCCCTCACATACTGAACAACTGCTGTAGCGCCTGTTGGGGGGATTGTACATGATCATGCGCCCTCGGTTACCGCACTACCCCGTCGACGTACGCTTCGCACGAACATGCGTACGGCAACCGCATAGATGAATCGCGGCAGCCTTCCACGTCGCTACCGGTTTTACCCCAACAGGTAATTATTATGGTGCAACGTGTGGTTTGGCATTTTTGCCCCATAAGAATACAAGTAATCGAGTCACAGAACGTTTGCAAGCCCCGGGCTCAGGGCAAACGGCTCGCCGGCCACGACGGGTAGAGGGCACCACACCAGCCTCGGTGGAACGCGCGGAATGCGGAAACGTTGTGAAGAAAGAAGATAGAAGATAGATTTTCCAACACAAGCACGCTTGGGTCCAACGTATCGATCGTAATGGGAACCTCTGTTCGATTGCTGTACATAGGTGGACACAAGCTTGGGTCCAACGCATCGATCGTAATGGGAATCTCTGTTCGATTGCTGTACATAGGTGGACACAACCTCCGGCCGCCCACGTTATCAAGCCGTTGAAGTTCCAACAAGGGGGGTGGTTTCCCACGTCATCCGCAGTTAGCCTGCAGCTTGGATGTGATGCACGTATGCATATGTGCACCTTTCTGCACCACAGGCGTCTCCCATATGGCATATTTGGCATTCTGCCTTCAAGAGTGTTGTCAGGTGGTGGTCCTGCACTGGCGCTGTGCATGCAAGCGTGTGTGTGCCCACAATATTATGCACGAAGCGGATGTGCTGAGTAGGAATTGGGCAGCTGGGAATGGCACCGTGGAAACCTTAACCTTCCAACATGACATCATGTTCAACCGCCCTGCTGGCCATCTGGAGTCGACGGCAACTCAACTCTCTCGCAACTTTCGCCTGCTACCCAATCTTCAAGGCCTGAAACTGGTATGTAACCTGTGTCTCACCTTAGTCAGCTCTTCGCCAGGTGCTGGTTCACCGGCTGAGGCAGCAGCTGCTGGGGCTGCGGCTGCAGCGGCAGCAGCAGCGGGTGGAGCCGCTGTTGCTGTAGAGGAAGACTGCACGCCTTCCGCGGCCACATCCTCACTAGTTTTCTCCTCTATCACGCCGCCGTCTACACTACCCACCTTCTCCTTGCTATCGGCAGGACTGGCCATGGCTTCACGCTTCATACGCCCCGTATGCCGGGAGGCTGCGTTGCCCGCAGCGGTCGGCAAGCGGTCGGCAAGCGGTCGGTCAACAGGGGAGACGCAGGTTGGATTCGATGTTGGTCGGGGGGGCAGGGGCTATCTCCGGAGATCGACAGTCAGCAGGTGGTGGGACGGACGTTTGGATGTGTATCCTTGGTCATATCGTATTGTGTTTTCGTTGTACAACAGCTTACAGAGAACAGAGACTATCAGTAGAGCATTGCTGCTAGCGATACGTAGGCAATGCATCCCAGGGCATTGATTTAGGACATTGCTCGTGAGCGGCACGATTTTACGATTTACCCGCAACGACGGATCCACTGCCCGTCGGTGTGCGGGAGGGAGCATCCGAACTCCAAGCGAAGTTACGCTGATGCCGCAGCCGTTGCCTGGAAGAAGCGGGGGGTCGTCGAGTGCAAGCGAGAAGAGCTTGTGAATCCCCACTACGCTGCGTCGGGTGGATATCCATCTTGATCTCATTGTGGCGTAGCAATAGCGGCGTAGCAATATGCGAGGGATGGTGAAGAGGACGTTAGCTGCGGGCCTTGTCCTTGTCTGCCGGTATCGGGTCTGGACGGAAGGAGTCGACGCAGCCCTGCAGTCGGCGGATACTTCCTACACGCGAGGCTACAGGTGGGATTTATTTCAGCCGTAAGCCCAGACGTCTTGCGGATTTTTTTCGTTGTTGGTCCCGAGTCACGCGCGGTCGTTGCAGTTTTTGCCAACGGTGTCACGAACAGCGATTCTATTGGGGACCATGACCAATACTCGGCCATCAGCGTCTTCATTTCTTGGGCTCGAGAAGGGCTCAGCAGTAGCTTTACTCAAGTGTATTATGGAAGCGTGCTGTTCCTAGTGCTGCATGCATGTACATCCATAACAACTACTACTATTGCCAGCTAAGACAGTAGAAGATATGTCCTTGTGGTCGTACATAGTCGTGCCGAAAAATCGCCCGCAGTAGTCTACACCTGCTCTCGCTGTAGTCAACGCAATTCAAAATTCAGGATTTCTTCTTTGCGTGGATGGCAGCGGGATGTTAGGTAGTTGATGCCGTGGCACTACATTGTAGATAGACGCTAGCATGCCCACCTGTATCGGTACGTCGGTCCTATGCAGTGGGACAAGAAAGATAGCTTGAGCAAAATATGCTACAAGGATGTGTAGCTAAACATCTTGCTGACAGCGTATCCCGTTCATGGCATGAAATGTCTTCAACCAACCTACTGGTCTTTCTGACAGTCTCGTTCAACCGGAGCATCTGGTGGCGTACTATCCTCTCGATGGCGACGCTGGGAACGCGGCTGCGCTGTCTTCTGGCAGGCAAGTCGAAAGCTCTTGCAGACCGCTTGTACACTGTCATCGTCAATGTATTCTAGATCCCAACGCGCGTGTTCCTGTTCAAATCATTAACTACATTCATTTGGTCGTTTATCGGGAGGCTGAACCCCTGTGAGCACTTTTACATGTCACCCACGCAAAGTAATACGAGGCCGCTACGACATTGTGTTCGGTAGTCATTCCGACATCAGCAAAACATCGTTGAGCCCACAATTTCACTTTCTCCTTCTTCCATGACCATTCGACACCCCTCCGCGCGCTCTCTTCGAAACGTCGCACTCGCAACGTGTTCTCGTTCAGCGACGCGCTAGACGCTGATAATCATGGCGGGGTTTCTACAAGCGAAGCCGTAGCAGGCTTGGCGCACTATTGCAGTGGACACGACTACCTCGACGTACCAGGCTTGGATGTCAGCCCGCGAGCGTTCCCGCAGCTCACGATCGGCGCTTGGGTGAAGGTGAATGCTATCCTTTTTCAATTGAGTCCCGTCCGTTTCGCGGTGTAGGTCAGGGTGCTGGTGATGATTATTGGGGCGAATTTCTGGCATGACTTTCCCTGACAATCAGCGTTTGAAAACAGTGAAATTGCCCATGTGCGTCGAAACAGGAGGGAAGGAGGTCGAGCGAATATCCTCTTCTATGAATATTTGTATCATCCTAACACGAGTATGGCCATCATCATCGTTGGTTGCCAGGATTTAATGAACAAACGAGATAATGGCACGTCCCACGGTCGGTAAGCTTGGTATGGACACCGCCCCCCCAGCTGTTGCTGCTGCTGCCGCGCATAGACGACTGTCGATCGTTCAAACGCTCAATACGCCAGGAGGCGGGTAGAAAACCTGTTCTGGCTCCAGAACGCATGTCAAGCTCGCACAGTCTCTTGGGTACATGCACATGCGTCTGTTCTTCACTCCTTGCCCGAGATATGCTTACATTATTCGTCGCTCTTTGACCCTACACGGATACATGCTGGGCATCTCAAAGAACAGTTTGATGCACAGTGCCGAATATCACCAACATCGCCCCCCCAATAATTAACATGGCTGTCAGGTCTTGGCCTTTGACACATCTAGCTCACCCTCCGGGGCTGGTTGGGGTTCTTCTCGGTATCTCTTCGCGGAGACCGATAGCGACGAAGATGGCGGCGAGAGTATAGCCCGCCGTTTCGTAGCCCTCGACTTCCGCGGCAACAGCGAGGCAGTACAGCAGCAGACCGCGTCCAGCAGGAAACCAGGGTGGGCTTTGGGCACGGGGTACGACGGCAACGGAGCGCTGGGTCTCGGACAGCCGGCGGAGCTGTCAAGGTGACGTCCGTTCGTGCTGTTGACAAAAGAAAAGAGTACACTTGGAGCAGTAGCAGGCGTAGAGACCAACCCGACGTTGGTTTCGCCTTCTTGACTGGAACGTTTGAAGTCGAAATAACTTGAAAAAAAAGGCAACACCCGTCGACCTGGGCACCTTTACCGGAAGTAAATCATTTGCGTAGCGTGGTTGGGGCCCCTCGATATCTCAAACGAAGGAATCTCAATCGTGACAGCATAGCAAAGTACTCGTGAGATGACGGCAAGCATAATAAACCCGCGACGCCGCCCTCTAAACCGGGGTTGCACTCCGCTCCTTCCATCGCCATGCCTCTCCCGAAAACCGTTTCGATGCCGCACCGAACGGAACCAACAGGTGGGCGTTTGTAGCGGCGGTCTACAACCAAGAGGCCGGAAACGCCACCCTGTACGTCGACGGCGTTGCCGCCATGGCGCAGACATCGGTTCCGGAGGGAGGGGTTTTCTCAAGAAAACAATCGGGAGACAACACCAATGTTACAGCCGCTGCTGTTACTCCTTTCTCGACAGCATTGCGCATTGGAGCGGGTCCTAGGGCGGTGGCGGCGGGAGACGGCAGCACTGGTTTGATAGGGTTCGTGGACGAAGTGTTCGTGTACGGGACGGCTCTGAGTGTGGACGAGCTGGATTACCTCTACCGTGCGGCACAGGTAACGTCAACGGAAGGGTGCAGGCCGTGAAGTCAAATAAAGTACTTGGGACTGCGAAGTATTCGGCGGGTGACCTTCGACCTTTAGCAGCTTGCCTTGACTCCGTCAGCAGTAGATTGACTCTTCTTGAGAATCTCGATTCGCACTGAAGGCACAAGATGCAGCATTAGACCTCTGCCTCAGATCGCTGAAATCTTGCATGTAGGGGGAGGGCGGGGAGGATGTTTGCCAGGTCCTTTCCCCGATAAACATCTTTGCCCTACAATAGTGCGTATCGAAGACGAACCAACCCCGAATGACAATGCTACCGACGATATTTTCGCATGGGCAGGCTCCTCTTCCACCGTCTGCTGGAGGGGCCGGGTACGCCCTGAGGTTACAAGGGCAGCAATGCCTGGATGTTAACCTCGCCGGCCTCGAGGAATCCGAGGAGCTGGCAATGGGCGTGTGGCTAAACCCATCACAGGTGAGGTCTTGCTCCCAAGTTGCCGGTTTGGAAGGAAAGGCAGGCACAAAGCAGTGCCACCTGAGGGGACCGCGGGAGCAGCAGCATTGTTGTCTGACTCCTTATCGGAGCTACTCTTCCTGGCCTTTGGGCCTTTGTTACGCGAGCTAACTTCTATTTCTCGGTTCCCAAGTTTGCTGCTTTCGCGCTTGCTTGTCGTAGTATGGTATTATTTGTATATGTACCACCGTGTCAGCTTCCAACCGCGAAAACGGAACAATTTCGACGCTGCTTACAAGAAGGCGGCGGAATGAGAGCATGCCGCTTTAGATATGTACCCCCGCTGCATGGAATTAACATAGTAGAAAAGACCTCACGTCGTTGTACATATCACGCCTTTCCCCTGCACACATGCCGAGACTTTGAACTTGATTCCGGACCCACCGACGCTGGGGATGCGGGAGCCTGAATCGAACCTACTAGTGGTGAACTCCATGGTTTGCAAGCATGCCAACACCCCGATAACATCACGATTTTTCGAGCACATGCATTACCATTCACCTATTTGCGAGGTGCGGAATTGTGCCTAACCGCTGCCCGCGTCCTCCCACCGACCCGGAACCCGCTCCGAAAGGTTTTGGAGCGCGAGTCGGGCTTACTCGACTGGCGGACACCGGGCGGCACCGCTTTCTACGTCACCTTCTCGCACGATGTGTCCGCTCGAAAAACTACCGTACGGCTAAGGCTTGGGGATGCCTTGGACTGGAGTGCGTCGTGCCCGTATCTAGAGGTGGGCCGAGACGCTGTTGCTACGAGAGTCCTGATTCTAGACGCCGGGCCGCTGGAAGGGCGCCGTTGTGCTGGTGTTCAAAGCTCCCGTAGCCAATTGCAGATAAATTTTTGGTGCAATTCGAAAGATCGCGATGGCTTGCTTCAGTGCGTCATTTCCGCCGCTGATCCAACTTCCCGAGGCCATTGATTCATGATTACGAAGTTATTCCATGCAATGTGAGGTCTGGGCAGCATCGATACACTTGGATACTTTGCATACCTGAGTAGAGCATACCCTCTTTCGGACCGATTCTTCGAAACACGAAACAGATGCTAGGGAACGCTCTAGATTTGCTCCTTTGACGGGCATGCGTTCCGAAGCACCCCAATCCTTGCGAGCTCTGCACTGTACAGGAGTCCCATGCACCTATTCTTCAGCCCCGCCCTTAGGAGACCGAAAAAAAATGCATGCGCTTATGGTTTGCACCTCACATTCACGCGCGGCACGATGGGTTGCAGCCAGGGGCATGGAGCCATGTTCAAGTGCAGTGGAACGCCTCTCACGCACAATCCTATGTCAATTCCTCCCTCTGCGGGAGCGTGGAATCGGGTTACGATGTCGTGGGCGGAACTGGCTGGGGAAGCGGTGGCATGGGTAACGTCACCATAGACCCAACTGTAGGCGAATCTTCAGGGAGCACGGACGGCTTGCTGGTAGGGGCGTGGCGGGGAGCGCCGGATGGGGTCGGCGCAGGTCGCTTGGGGGGCTACTACACAGGGCTCCTGGACAATCTCGAGGTGCGTAATTTGGCCAGGAACAAGGTCTTTCGACTTGAAGATGGGTTGAAAACGCTTTTCGAGCCTCTAGTTCGCGACGCAAGGGTACGGGTATTTCGGAATCCCCCCCCCCCCGCCGGTTCCCTAAATCGGAATATAGGTTGGCGTCGGGTGGCACCGCGCCGTAAAATAGCCATCGAACCCTAGACATGAAATAATTGTACTTACCGACTTTTCTTTGCCCATTCCAGTACACAAACCTGATATAGACATGAAATAACGGAACTTACAAATTTTTATTTACCATACCATAACACGAAGCTGGCAATAGACATGAAACTACTAGACTAATCAGTTTTTTTTTCACCAGACCATAACTAAATAGTATAAACCTAGAATCCCCCCCCCCCCCAAATAGCTTCTTACACCTAGAACCGATCCCCAAACCGTAACCGAACCCCCCTGGAAAATAGACCCCCCGCCTCTCTCCCTTTTATTTTTTACCATACGATAACACGAAGCTGGCAATAGACATGAAACTACTGAACGCTAATATTTTT